AATTTTCTTTGCAAAAAATTTTTTAAAATTTGTTTTAACCGAACTTGGTGTTTCCAGGTTTTCCATATCTTTCAATTTTAAATGAAAATATTTTGAATTTTTACATATTTTTGCCTTGCCGCGAAGTGAGAACTGAATTAATTAGTAGCGCATGCGCATTAGGTAAGCGGCGCTGAATCGTCTGTGAAAAACTGTTCCTTTTTAGTCCAAAGAGGCTTTGTCCCTGAAGGACTATTGTTTCGTTTTGCGATTTTGCGTTGGTTCACTGTAAATGACCGTTTCACTTTTCAAACTGTTGCCACCAAATGTTAGACTCCTGGATTATATTTGAAGAAATTAAATAATGAAAAATCTGCATAAATGTATGTATAGTTCTCGCATAGTGATAAAACAGCGGTACATAGAGCCATCGAATTTTGAATGACGTAATCCAACTGCGAATATGGGCAAATTTGGAATTTGTTTTATTATCGATTTCATATTTTGTAGAACTTTACCGAATTTTTGATTAACAAACTCAAGGATTTCAAAGTGAGCAGTGGCAACGCTGTGCAGAAAAAATATTTTATCTCCAACGCGCGAGATACTGTATCGGAAATTTTAAAGATATGCTCAATTTAAAACTATTTTGCGATATTGCTCTTGAACTGAATTTAATGATTTAAGTGCGAAGAACATTACATTTAATAAATAAAGGTTTATAAATAAAGGAAATATGTTAAAAAAACCGCCCCTTTGGACGTAATTTAAAATCTGAAGCATTTCAGATTTTTTTTATTTGTTTAATTTCTTTAATACATCGTTTTAGATTCATTATAGTATTTTAATAGAACATGCTGCAGTTCTTCAGATGATATAATTTTTATGCACTCTGAGTTATAAAATCACTGAGATATAACGCTATTAAGTGAACCTAGCGCCAAAGTGTCGCTATGGTAAATGAATATAGTGAACTTTAAAGAGTGCATTTATTCTATTGCGGTTTATGAGCTATCGAGGAAGTAGACTTAATTCAAAATTCATTAACTATTAATTCAATATGCTTAAATGAAATGCAGGAAAATCGCGTATAAATTAATGTTCCGTACTAGAAAGTCATTTGGTGTACACATCAGATTTTTTATTTACTTGTTGGCCTTAGATAGCATAGTAACACAGTTCAAAAACTAAAAAGCATGTCTATGCCTTCAATCTCTTTCAATGAGTTTGTAGTCGAATTCTTCGATGGGAAATTACTTAATTTTATTTTCAATAGGCACTAACCTTCTTATGATGACCATCTCCGGCAAATAATCACCAGTATTCTAAAAATTCTAAAGATTCTAAAGATATGCTCGTTTTAAAATTATTTTGCGATGTTGCTGTTGAACTGAATTTTATAGTTTAAGTGCGAAGAACATGATATTTAATAAATAAAGGTAACCACAAAACGTTAAAAAAATTGCCCCTTTGGGCGTAATGTAAAATCTAAAAGCTTTCAGATATTTTGTTGTTTAGTTTTTAATTTACAAAACACATTTAAAAATGTTTAAATCTAAATATGTGTATATATATGTGTGTGTGTGTGTGTGTATGTGTTTGCATTTTTCGAGTTTTGAAAAGGAGGGGGGGGGAGATCTTCTAGCGATGGTGAAAGGTGTGCATGGGGCAAAATAGATTGAGAACTACTGAAAATGAACAACTTTGAAGTTGCATACTAATGAGCATGAGACTCACGTTCGCAGAAAGAAATTCATAGTCTCTCTTGCTGATCACTTCTGGTTCAAAAAAGCAAATTTTCCATTTCTGTGCAGCTGAAAGCTGTCAAAAATGTTTTCTGTTGGCGAATTAAGGCGTTTCACATTTTTAAAAATTTTCGCATTTTGGTTATTGATCTTAGTTTTAATTCCTCTTTACCCTAAGCTTAAGAATTTTCTTGCTTGCTTTATTGTTAATCATGGATAAGCAGACAGCGTTAGGGACTTGGTCTTCCTCTTATTTAGCCACAATAATCTGGAATTTTTCTTTTTTGTTCTCATGTGGATATGTCTTTCTTTTTTGTCTATTTCATTCCCGTAGCTCAAGTTCGAATATTATAATCTTGAAAATTTACTGATGTTACGCTGATCCCAGTTGTTTATTTTTGAGCATTTTAACATTTAGTTTTCTAACAGACTTTTTTAGCTACATCTAAAGTGCATGTTGACTAGATGGCTGCGCCTAAGATCCATTGTTGTTAGCTTGTTGAAGAATTGGAAGCTAATAAGAAGTTATTTTCAAAACATCAGTATAGCACCTAAAGTTTAAAAAACTTTTTTAATGAAATACAGGGGGAAATATTTATATTTTTAGCATGTATAATATTTCTGTTACATCGATAAGTATTTTGCGGATTCATCAAAATAACTTGACATTTTATATGCAGTTATCCTGGAATCCTTTAATGGATTTAAAATATTAATAATTAAAATTGTGCTCAGAAGTAAATTTTGGGAGTAATACACGCAAAGACTTTTAATAGGATTGGATTGGATTGGATTGGATTATTTAATTATGGCAAAGCACACGAGGGTTATCTGCCTAAAGGGAGGGATGCCTTCGTGGAGGACTTTCTAAGGGAAACTGGCTTGTATACACGTTACACATGGGGAAAACCACGAAAACGCCTGTGATGCTTCTTTGGCGATATCTGTTACAATCGTTTGCATTTCTATGGCGCTCTCACTTTTGAATATGGATATTCAAAAGGTGAGATTCAATTCAAAAAGAATATGGATATTTCACTTATCATTATGAGATAAGTAAAATGTAGTAGCATAAGACAATATTCAATATTCTGTAGACTATTCAAAAGAGGGGTAAAGTGCAGAATCGCCCACTTATTTGTTTGGCGTTTGCTTGTCGCTTTTTACAAGCGTAATAAGAATTGGATTTTTGTCAATTTTCTTTGACATTTTAAGTGAAAATAGGTCGATGTGTACATGGATAAGGTCAAGGGAGTGCACGATGCCATTTTTTGTGCAATTCTGGGATTTTTATTTTTAAAGTGAAAATAGGTCGATGTGTACATAGATACCGAGTTTGTGCAATTCTTAAAAACATGCCGAGCAGTGGGTGATTCTGTACTTTTCCCCAAAAGAGTACCGATCTCCGAAGGAATAAAAAATTTTACAACGGTAACTAACTGAATGAGCAATTTGGTGACGAAAAAATGTTAGAGAAGGTATGAAAATATCCCAACTCTATTCCACTGATAGAAAACTTCAGCGAATTTATTTTGCTCTGTCTTGTTATTTGATGATATTTCCAGCAATATTTCCTTGAGTTAAACAATAAGTATTACTAAATGTCTAATATTGTTCCTCTCGAACGTATTTCAAGGATTTTGGACAAACTTATCCTTTAAAAAAATGTCAAAAGCTAAATATAACGTCTTTTGACAATTTATTTATAATGTCAAAAGATAAAGTTTGACTTCAGCCCTTTAGAAATACTAACATATTAATGTTATAAGAATCTTCTTTGTTTTTAAAAAAGATTGTTGATAAAATCCTTCAAGGTCAATCTGTTCCTTTGTCTCGCACCGAAAATAGCAAATAAATGTCATTGTTTTGCAGTTGCAAAAGAAAAATGACTATTTGTAGCATTGTTAAAATAGAGTTATACTTTTCAATAAATAAATCAGGTTTATTATAGAAATACTCTTCCAGGAGAAAAGTTCATGTGCGAGTTTCTTCATCATAATTTTTGTTGTAATTTTTGAATAAAATATGTTCGTTTCATGTCCTGTTTTATGTCCAAGTCTATTCCTGTTATCATTCTGAAGTTCAATCCAAGTAACATATTCACAAATACAATGCTTAAAATAACTCAACTGATTACATGCGTTACTTATTCTCCGATTTATTTCAGTGCTTTAAATTATTAATAAGCATAAAACAGACTCAAAGGGTTTTTTTTTTTTTTTTTTTTTCGAAAAATCATAGAATGACCGAAATATAGAGGGTGTTTGCACATTTTTAGAACGATTTCGGCGAAAAATTAAAAAAAAAACAAAAAAACTGTGGAATAAAACTTTCTGGCAACAGTTTACTATTCCAAATGAGAAACATCATCTGCTATATTTAAATTTCTTCTCTCAAAATGTCGCGTGTAAACAAGTTATGGATTGAAGGATATATTTTTGCGCTTTGCGAAGAGAAATATTCTTATTCCATAATTCAAAAATCTTATAAAATGCGTGGTGTTGAAATTTTTAAATGCAAAATAAGCAGCATTATCAGTCGAAAAGCGGAAATCATTAACCATTACTTCTGCATTGAAAGAAGATACCCAAAAATACCCTAAAAAGGTAAAAAATGTTTTTAATGTTAAATCATTAATGACATGAGAATATCCGCCGATGTAGAAAGCAGTTGCAAATTCTTGAAATATATCTGTAATAACAATAAATAAAATAATAAATCAAGATTTACGACTTAAAAGGCTAATAAATATAATGTTCACCAGCTTTTGCCGAGGCATATAACTCAACGCAAAGCAATGTGTAGAACCGTGGAAATTATTTAGGAGGAGACTATTTACGGAAACCGTTCAGCAGGAGATAATTGGCAATGCATTGTAGAATCTTGATGAAACATGGGTTTACCTAAATGACTGCGCTATTTACTACCGAAAACAAAGAGAAAAAAGTATACAAGCTTGGTTCCGTCAATGTAAAAAAAATTTTAGTAAAGGATTTATGATTGTCGCAAGATCATAGAATGGAAATCCAAACGTATTTCAGATTTTAAAAATATTTCTGAATTAAAACGTTGCGAACAAACCGATACAACATTTACAAACATTATGGCTGTATTAAACATATAAAAAATTCGGGAACTAAAAATTTAAATAGCAATAGGTTGTTGGTAATGTTAAAGCCCCAACTTAATGAAACTCCAGCATCCTGTTGATTTAGTGATTAAAATTAGAGAAACTTTCCTTGAAACCAACTTCTAAACATTTCTTTCTTATTTCAGAATGAATGCCTGGACGAAGGCATCTTCCAGATTTCTAAACACCATAACGCTTCCATGAACGAAACCAGTAAAATCACACACCACGACCTGAGCTGCCAGTATCCATGGGTAAGAAATCTTATGTTAAATATGTCTGAAAATTTTCATAAATTAGATGAATGCCAGTACGCAGGTGTAAGAAAAATATATGTCAAAGATATCTAAAATTTATCTTAAAAATTAGATGAATAACTATAGAAAATTATGATTTCTGAATACGTAAATATGCGTAATCTTAGTGGCTTCAATATAAGACCGCCTTATTAGAAGGGGATTCTGCATCTTTTAAACTGTTTCTAAAAGTAAAAACAAAATATGAGTACAATTAAAGGAAGGTTTTTATGTGATAAGCTATTATTTAAACCATAACGCATCAAAAGAACGCATCAAAAGAATAAAAATAATGTATCATATTCTTTAACGGAAATAATAGATTAAATAATTCTATTTAACAGAATTCATGTGCAAATTGATATTGCATGTAATAAAAACATGGGGTACCCATGATAAATTTAAAAAGATTGCACATTATACATCTAAAAAAGCAATTAAATTAATAGACAGGTTAAAAAGATAATGGCAGTTAAATAAATAATAACAATTAATAATAATGGCAGTTAAATAAATAATAACAATTAATAATAATGGCAATTAAATAACATTTCACAATACAATTAAATTGATAAATTGCGTTATTGAAACAGTCAACGCTTCTAATTATTCGCGATATAAAACTATAGATGAATTCTATAAACATAATTATTTTATCTATTATTCCCATTAAACTATATGATAAAAAATTTTTCTCCTTTGAGTGCATTAATTATCATATTGTTACGAATTTTGTTACACATATAAATAATTTTAGAGAAATTCTATGATGTCTAAATTTTAGTAGCTTTAGTATAATAATTTAGCTCATAATCGGAGCATCGGCTAGAAAATATTGTTACAAGTCCATTTAACATTGAGGTAGATGAGATAGCTTCAAGCTGGCAATAGTTTACGGGACTACTTTTTGTCGCCAAACTTGGCGATAAATGCTCAGAAATCGCCAAGCCTGAAGATTGAGCTTGAAGACCGAGCTGAGCTTGAGAAGTTAGAATTATATGCGTTCAAACATATGAATTGTTACTTATGCCTCGACGAAAAATTACATAAATAAGAGAAAGGAATTAAACTGTTATATTTATTCTCAAGTTCTGTCCTTCTCCGAAAATTGTGTTTGAAAACTTAGAAAGTTTACATAACTTTTTATTTTTAGTGTAAATTGAAGTGATTTAATTTTTAGTTGAAAGTGTTAGAATTATTTAAAAGAAATACCAGTCTAAGATTGTAATATTTAGCAGTCAACTGGGCAAAGGTTGAAAATCAAAGTACTACGTGTACTAAATACGATTGCAGTCGACAAACTGGTTTGAATACCGTATTTTCTGTCGTAATTTTCTCCTTAGCCCAGAACGGCTATTAGTCTGAAAGCGGCATTTTGTGACGCTTCACTATAAACGACGAATCACTTTTTAAACTGTTGCCACCAAATATTATCGCCGTGAATTATATTTAAAGAAATTAAATAATGAAGAATCTGCATGAATGTATGTATGTCTCGTATTGTGAAAAAATGACGGTACCTAGAGCCATCAAATTTTGAATAACGTCATCCTCCACCCGAACATGGGCAAATGGAAGCACGAATTTTGAATTTCGAATCTGTTTTATTACCTATTTCATATTTTGTAAAAGTTAAATGAATTTTTGATTATCAATTTCGAAGCGAGCTATGGCAAGACTGAACAAATTTATCTCCAGCGCGCGAGACTGTCTATCGGAAATTCTAAAGATATTCGACTTTTAAATATTTTGTAATACTGTTGTTGAATTGAATGTTACGTGGTTTAAGTGAACATGCAATTTAATAAATAAAGTTAACACACGAAACGTTAAAAAAAAGTCCCTTTCAGCGTAATATAAAATCTGAAAGCTTTCGGATCATTCAAAAACCGATAAAGGGAAATTATGCGAATTTAATTTTCGAAGAAGACGGTTACAGTAAGAACACAAGTAAAAAAACTAGTCATGGATATAAACTATTAATAAATATTACAATACTATATCTTTGAAAGGAGTCTACTTTCTAACACGAATACATAGTAATGCTAACATTAAACTAGCTGATGGGTATGAAGGCGATATCTGACGGTAATTAAAGTCCCAGGCTCACCTCACATGAATGAGTTTTGACTGCAAATCCCAAGAGAGACATCGTAGGAACGAAGGAATACGAGGAGCCCAACAAAAGACCTATTTCGATAAATCGAACATATCAGCAGTTGATAAGGTTATAGTGAGCTAGAACATAAATAACAGAACTAATGAGAAATCACATGTTTTGAAGTTTCTTTGTGAAATCCCGTGTTTGGAAAAATTTTGAAATGTGAGAACACTTGCCACGTCCGGCTTGCTTAATGAAGAATCTTACAAAATACGTTTCAAACAATATATTCAAGAGAAGATAAAATGTATGAAATGCTAATACTAAAATGAAAATAGAATTTGAACCCATTGAATAAAAATAAAAATAATCAAGGGAATGCTATTTACGAATATGCTAGTCCTCGGACAGGAAAATAATATATGTAATAGAGGAAGGGGAAATTTTTTTGAATATTTTCTAAAATTTCAGAACCAAGAGTTAAAAAGCTAGGGGGGGGGAAATATGCAAGGAAAATACGGTAGATATATATCATTATGTTGATTGAGTACATTGTAGTGCTTTGCATGAAGTATGATTCTAGTGCTTTGCACAAGATGCATTATAATTTTCTCCTCTTTTCTTGTGTTTTTAGTTTTACACACTTTGTGCTGCTCTTGCCATGACAACTACGTCTGTTTTCTTACGAATTCATTTCTTGATGAAGCTTACATTAAATAGCATATCACTGGCTGCCTTCTGGTACATTATGGATATTCGAGGGGAAGAAGTCTTTCGGCAACGGACCGCAAAGCTCGCTGATTGGTCAGTGTCTCTTTAAATTTTATAATAAATTATTTATTTTTGAAAAATTCTTTATTAATATTAGATTTTCCCATTTAACGGCATCGAGTTAAATAAAAAAAAAGTCTGAAAGATTTCGGATTTTAACGATCGCAAAAAAGGATTAGTAAGATAGGCATTGAGTGACAATGGCGTAGCTAGATGAGCCGGGGCGATCCTTGATTTTGTCGCCTCTCTTGATTTAAAAACAAACAAAAAGTGCCAAAATAACGTATAGAAGAATAAATTAAACTCTCCCTTCGTTTTTGAAGAAAAACTGTAATTTCAGTAATGTAAATTGTAATGATATTATTATTTCTTTTTCTGTTACCAAAACCATCAGTGACATTGTACAGCTCTACTTGATTGCTCCATTTGCAATTATATAGAGGGTATATAAAGATTTTTTCAATTTTTTTCTTTCTTCTTAGATTTTTCTGCTTTCCTTAAATGCAGAATGAGCACTCGCAGTTCTTAAACGATGTTCTTCTTAAATTATTTTTAGTTAGAAAACGTTTCTCATAATTAGCAGCAGTTGCGAGGAAAGTTCGCAGTAATATTACAATGCTTGAAACTTTGTTCTAGAAATTGTATTTTAGAATAAACTGCGAAAATTTATAAGAACCGCTTTTCGACGTTTCTGTTATATTTTTCTTAGCAATAATGGAAAGAAAATTCTGAAATAATTCTCCCTTAAATTGGAATTCTTCCTTATTCATGTCACCGTCATCTAATTTAGTTAATATTCGTAATTTTCATTCAATATGGACGGAATAAAATAGGTGAAACAAAGGTATGCATCGTTTGAAACCTACGATGATTCCCTTAAATAGATTATCTAGAGTAAAAATTATTTTTCTTCTCAATATAATTCCATATGGCAGTTAAGAATCTCATTATTCTTCACCTATCTCGACTATCCATGTGAGTAAAGTTGCCGCTCGTAATATGTGACGCCAGGACGGACCGCCGCTCCTCCCCCTTCGAGCTACGCCACTGTTGAGGATCCATAAACGAGGCTCTGCGAAAAGCTTCAGGCTGCCTTAATCAGGTCCTGTTAATGCAACCATTTGTAAAAAAAAATATGACAGGAAATTTCAACTTCTCTTATTTGCAAAATTTTGTATTTTCCTAACGAAGAGTATTTGATTATTAACGGAAGAAAATCTTAGCAGCGAAATTCCTTATTTCTTTTAAATCTAATTTAAATATGCTGGATATATATGAAATTGACGATTTTTCATTTTTTGTTTAAAAGGAAGTGTAGTAGTATTTTTTCTGCTTTTATTTTTATTTGCACATCCAAATGTTTCCATTCGATCTTGTTTCTATTATATAAAATGTTCTCCACGAAGGCATCCTTGCCCTTACGAAGATAGTCCTAGAGGTGCTATGCCATAATCAGCTAAATTAAGCTAAACAAACTTTGTTTCTCTGATAATGATTTAGTTTTCTTCCTTGATTATAAAGGAGTTTAATTATCACTGTATATTTTTAAAAGCATGTTAATACATAAACATTTCACAATCTTATTGAAATTTTAAACATAAGCCTAGATATTACAGGGAATTTTTATGATTTAAATGGCTCAGTTAAGTATGTAGTAGATATTTGAGAAATGATCAGCTTTAAAGCTCTAATTTTCGGAAATTTTGCTACAATCGAAATTTCGCATGAATTTAATGAAACGCCATTCCTTAGTTTTCAGTGTTATTGTATTAAATATTTAAATCATTTATAACGTCTGTTTGACATTTGATTTTTATATTTTTCAAAGGGAAGAATTTGGCCTTCCGGCTGATCGCAGTCATTGTTATTATCTTACTTTTGTCCTGCTCATCTTGCACGTTTTGGACAGACAGGTATGTTTATCATAGCAAATGTTTAGTGAAATTTGATATCATATGCAAATTTTACATAACATTGTATTCGTATATTAGCTTTGTGAGATTGTGATTATTTTCTCTCAAAAATCTAAAAGGATGATATATATAACCTGTTATAAGTTATTTTAACTTAAGCTCAAATTAAAAGCTAAATCATTTGTTGCCTTATCTAGGGAAATAAAAATATCATTATTTGCTCTATTCTTTATTTTTTCAAATAACAAATAAAAACAAAATTTTGATAAACAAAAAACGTTCTTTTATGCTTATTTTAAAGTCTAAGAAAATAATTTAATTATTTTATTTTCCAAAATTCGAGAATCAGTTTCAAATACGTCACTAGTACTTTTATGTCTTACCCTATTGAAGTAAAGTAACAATCTCAGAAGTTTTGAAAATAATCTTAAGAGGATTAAAAATATATCCCCTGATCACGAAATTCCTCTCCCTCGGTTGCACTTACTCAGTCTAGTGAAAGCAGTTGAGGATTCGCAAACCGTAAGGGCAAGAATGCCGAAATATGAAATGTCTTTGCGTGGAAAAAAAAGCAGTAAAGTGTAATTGAGCTTACCATGTTGTAACAAGTAGATTAATTTTAATTTCTTAGTTTTTATATGAATTTTGTGTTTCATTTAATGAGAAAGGCACAAATTTCGTTTTACACAGCTTGTTTTTTTTTTTTTCTTTACGTTTTTTGAATAAAATTTTTTAATGGCACTCTTTCATTATTTTTTCAACATAACATTCGTATTTTTGAGGAAAGAATGTCTTTTAAATAATAACCATGTAGAGACATTAGGTTATTTTGAAACAAGTATCGTGAAAAATGAGCAATGTCTTCGCCGGAACTCGAACCTGGATATCTGGAATATTCACCGAGTGTGCTAACCGTTACACCACGAAGGCATATTTGGAAGGAGGGAGAAAATATCTTATAACCTTATCACAACTTTTTTCATGTGTTACATTTTGTAATTGTACAGAATGCCTAGGTATTTTATGCAATGCCTAGAGAACGTATATAATAATTGTCATATTTCATACTTTGCCTAAAAAAGCCAGGTATTCTGTAGAATTTGTAGGAATTATATACGAAAACTAGGGAAAGTATATAATAATTCTAAGAATGCAAGTATACCATAATTCTCATATTTCATACTTTGCCTAAAATCGGCAGACATTCTATAAAATGCCCAGGTATTCTTTAGAATGCCAGCGTTTCATATATTGCCAGTAACATAATACGTTATTAAGAGCTGTATATATCACAGCTGAAATCAAAGAGACATTTCGCTTAAATTATACAATAGTCTGAAATTTATTCTTAAATTGCTTTGAAAAATTGAATACTGGACCACTTTCAATCAGTCAGCGCCTAAACTTTTATAACCTTATATTCAAATAATTGCAGGGTACCAACTCTTCAGAAAGGGTAATTATAAAAAGAAAAATTTGATCACTTTATTTATCTATCACCATTTCATAAACTCCATAGGTTGAATATGTGTGCCGCCTGGATTATCTCATGAAGGTGAAGCTAAAAGCGGAGCAAGAGGAAGCTCGAACAATGGAACTCGTCAACCGCATGTTGCTTTTCAACATTTTGCCGCCGCATGTATCACAATATTATCTTAGCAAGCAGCTTGAGGAAGAAAACTCACGAGTCGAGGTAAAAAAAAAAAATTGTGAATGAATATTTTTGTTTGCATAAAATTTATGAATTTACACCCACTTTTTATGATATTAAATATTTGCAATGTTTATTTATTTATTTGCAAAATTTGTAATACTTAGTTCAACAGCAATATTAGAAAATGAAGAATATAAATTTAAAAAACATGTGTTTTAATTAGCTTCCATTCTTGCCTGAAGTTACTATATCTATGTCTTCTTTTCCACCGATAATGGAGCAGTCATCCTCTTAGTTAACTTTTCGGCCAAAAGTCCCATTATCGAAGCTTTCTTATAACTTTTCTCTTATGCGATGACCTGTCTTTGGGATGCAATCCAAACGTGTGTCTAAAGATGGAAACTTGTCGTTCGGTTAATGGTTAGAGGTCTAGCAGGGAAGGAAAACATGCAGTGTGTTCAGATAACTCAATTCTATGCATTACATTATTTTCATGCACGAGAAGAAACAAAAAAATAGTTAATACAATACACATAAATACACTATTATAAAGATACTAAAACTATTATAAGAACGGAAACTGTAGCAGAATACACAGTAGTAAAATGTAGATGTGATAATATTTGCATAAACTTGTCAGTCGGTTTTTGTACATTTGAATACAGTTAAAAATAAGGCATAAAGTTACCTATAAATTAATATAGTATTTGTGTATCAGAACAATGTATTAGTACAATATTAACATGAGATGTATGTTTAGAGATTTGTACAGTTTCAGACAGTTTATTGCAAGCATTTTATGTAAAGTTTCGCAGCTTTGTAAATTACAGTACAAGTTCCCTTCAGTTATGCTTGAAAGGGCTTTAATCATTAGTTGTCTGTGAGTGGAGTGTGTTGTTGCTGACATCTGACATACATTTTCATTGAACATTTTCCTATGAGAATATCAGTAACAGTAAGTAATAGCAGTAGACTTGAAATCCTTTTGTGTCTTTTTGAATTATTGTTACATTTTACTGCGTAATATTGATTCAGTAGAATATAAGCCTTTACTAAATAAACTAAGTTGCTCAAAAGAAGTCTCTTCGGTGATAAGTATTTCATTGAATATTAAACGTGTGTAAAACAGAGCCATCGAAACAGAATGCTGGATTATAAGAACGTATTACTTAAACTGTTAAACATATGGCATTTATGTTTAAGTTTTGCTAGCGGAACGTTACTTATTTTCTTTCCTTTCTGCCTCTTTTCGCCACAATACAAGTAGTAGAATTTTATGAACACGAGTGTGAGAGTCAGGCCTATTTTCGTTGCCCTGCCGAACGAGAATAAGACTGTTCTTGTCGGGATTTCTTTAGGCCATATTAGGTCCTGCTTGGTAAGTGTGTGTTCGAAATTCTGTCGCGGTATAGAAAATCTTGTGGTTTCTGCCTAGGTTAGATTAAAAATGTTGGACTTATTGCCATTTCTTGAAAGGAAGCTTTGTGTTGAAACCAGGCCGAGGTTGTCTTGTAATTTTATGTTTGTATATTTTAATTTAATCTCTCGCAAGTGGTGATGTAGCAAAAACTTAAAAGTGTTTTAACTCTGTTTATCTGTTTGTTTGATGCTTAGGTATTCGGGTGGGGATCATTCGCCATCGCACATGGAAGCGGTGTAGCACCAGGGTGCCTAGTCATCGCTACATATGTTGGAATCCACAGCAGGTGTTACAGACACATTGAGATGAATCAAGCGGTGAAATGGCAGCGAAACAAGGAACTATTTGCTGGATGTGGAGTGGATAAAATGTAAATAGGAAGTTATTCAATATTGGGTCGAGATAGGTGGATATGTACATTTTTGATGTTCTATATATTCTTGTTCTTTCGTAATACTGAAAAGAGCTTCAAAATGTTTCTGTCTTAAAAGCTTTTTTTTTGGCTCACTGTCGGAAAGACTAATAAAAAAGTGTAGAAAAAGCCATTAAGATATCAATATAGACAAAAACTAAGGCTTTTAAAAAATTATAAAATTATTCGATGCTCTTAGTCAATTTTTAAAACATGAAATTTTTTCTGTAGCTTGAAATTGGGAACTTATTTCAAGAAGAGGGAGTTAGCATAATGTATTACTGCGAGATATATGTATAGTGAGATATATGTATGCGAGATATATGTATTACTGCGAGATATATGTATAGTGAGAAAACTATTCAAATTTGAAAACATTAAAATTGTACTTCATGTTTACCGAGAATGGCGATGGCCTTGTCGTGCATCCGAGAAGCTTTGAAGAAAAGATTTCGTATTCTTTGGTTAAAATACCTTCAAATCCATCAATGATGTCCCTCCAAAAAACATCGGGTCTGGGATCGGTGAATGCTTAACATTTTTCGTCATTTCAAACAAGTCGACTTATATTTCTTCGTTCACCTATTTTTATCTGTGAGAACGGTTCTTAATTTCCAGCGAAGAGACTGGATTTCCAGCGAAGAGCCTTTCTCTGGGCTGCCTGGCAGTTTTGCTCGATTCTTCTCAATCCAGTGACTCTGACTGAGAACGATTCCTATTTGAAATCGGATTTTTCCATTAGCGATCCGACCTCTCCTGCTACAAAATTTACGTGGAATACATGAATCAGAATTTTGCTAGTTTGTCTTTTTTTTAACTGTATTTTTGTTTTAATCTGTGTTGGGTGTGCTTCTTTAACTATGAGGCCTATTATTATGGGCCAGGCGCGTTGCAGGACAGTCATATATTACATTACACTACATTGCATGAATCCACCGAGAAATTCATGAATTGGATACTCTAGTTCCACGAAAACGTCCAACGGACTTTGAGGGAATAAACCAAGAAGGATTGAAGAACTTCTTAATCTTCAACAAAGTTAAATAATTGTCATATCCATCACATATATAATCATCACATAATCAAACGCAAATGGAAAGAAATCAAACACAATTTCGATTTCAGAATTCGATAAATAAATCAAATATCGTAACGTAACTAATCAAAGTAAAAACTTCAAAATTTTTTAATAATTCAACCTTTGAATTGATTTTTGTATGCTGACCAGCTTTCGATTGATAGCGTTATTTCCTTACGTTATTTCTCCCCCTCTTTTTTGTCTTCCGAAAATTGAGAAGGGAATTTTATTCGAATAATTCAATTTTCGATGGACACTCATACAGTTTTTCAGAAAAAAAAACTGCAAATTAAATTTAAATTTTGCTTAAATACTAAAAATAGCAGTACATATTCAGAATCAGTTAAATATTTTGTCATATGCCTTATAATAAACATAAAATTTCGAAATTTCGAGTTTTCTTTGTTCTTTGTGTATTTGTAATATTAAATTTAAAAATTTCGAACAAATATTTTTAACAGCGAATACAGTTTTCTAGTTTCATAAAAAAATATCATAAATAATCTGAATGATACCCTTAAATCAACAATGTTTCTGGCACCTCTAATGTAAGTTTCTTAAAATATTTTGTAACCACGTAAGACGAAAATTTTGTGTTTATCATATTTCACTTTATTTTTCCTGTATCAGTAAAAGTCATTAATACCTCATACATATGTAACGTACATTAAGATACTGATTATAAAGCAAAGTTTTCAGAATGGAATTTTTTCTCCCTCTGCTTCCCTTAAGTATACCACTTTTTTTAATGTAGATATTTGTCCCCTGTGTTTTGCTTTATTGATACTAGATGGCAGCACTACTATACAATCATCTTTTGCGTTTTATATTTAATAGATGGCAGCACTATAATGTTGTACAAAGTGATCTTATGAGGGATTTTCCCGCGATAAATCATCCTGTGTTTATTTCATATTCTGAGTTATTTATTGCCTTCTAACAAATTACAATTTTCGAGAAAAAAATGCGAAACCGAAACAAAAGTTAGTTTATTTGAAAATGGCAAAGTACACGAGGGCTTTCTGCTTATGGCTTAAGGGGAATGCTTAAAGAGTATTAGTCGTTAAGGCCTTCGTGAAAAACTTTCTAGGGGAAACTAGCTAAAATAATAACATAAATACTCTTTTATATATACGATATGAAGCTTGAATGAAATATTTTATGATCGTTTCTTTCATTTGGAATAGGGATAATCTGCAGGCCCTATACTTTTTTTTTTTTTTTTTTTTTTTTTTGGACAATAAAGTTTACACCAAAAGACTCAAGCAAAATAACATTCTTTATTTTTATATGTATCAAATACCATTCAAATCAAACTGTAACGAAGTAAATTAACGCTTTTCGTCAAATTAAGGTTTCAATTAAACGTAAAATACTTCTTATTGTTAAAAAAAGAAAAGAAAAAGAAAGAAAAAAAATTATCATCGTTCTTAACTGAAGAGTGTTACAGAAGAATTCTCGAAAAGCTCTCGTGAGAGAAAAAGGAAGGAATGTAATCATTTTTTTTTAAAATTTTAATAATTCAGCGAAATTATTTAAAAACTAAGTCGAAGGTTGTCTGCATACTTATACAACTACTAATCGATTTTTTTTTTTTTTTTTTTTTTTTAAATTTGGTGTAATTTTAACTGTGAAATGTATGCAGTCAAAATAGCGCTGCTAAATATATTATGACTATAGCTGAAAATATTCACTAAGAGAAAACAAATGCTTACAGAATGGATCCATTGAGCGGCGAAGTCATCAGAAGGATCGCGTCTACAGGTGCAATACTTTCTTCACAAAAACCAAATCCCATTTTATTATTTCTGCAATCATCATATGTGAGTAAAGTAAAGAATTTGAAGCTTCTTGCTTGCAGTTTTTTCGATTTAAAAAATATTCAGGAATTCTGCTTACCGTTCATTCAGGAATGCTGAATTACCGTTTTTAATAGAAATGTTTACAGATTGAAGAAAAATTTCTGAGATAAAACTTTATTGCCCTTTAAAAAGCTGCCACATACCGTACTTTTCGCACACTTTTTTCCTTTTCCACTAACTTTATCGTCCGAAAATCCAGAGGAGAACACTATTCGACTAATATAATTTCCGAAGTAAGTATATGACAAATCAAAATGAATAAACTACTGGTAACTATCACAATATTATTTCTTTTAAAAAAATCTACATTCCAGTAAGAATACATGATAATATTAACATTATAATAGATGGTGGATACTGAGCCTGTAGCGATCACTTTAGTTGTAAGCTCCCTGGTGCTGGTCTGTATGTAGTTACTTGCTCGTGTCGCCATTTACTACCACAGATAAGAAGTGCAATAGCTCACGAGTTTTGTTTGTTATTCAGGATTACGATGATCTTGGGATTTGTTCCTAGGTCTGTTAGGTGGCAGTCGAATGTTATGCTGCTAATGCAAACGAACTCAAATGCGGAAAATTCTGGTATTCGCAGTGCTTTGTAATGCGAGCATTTGATTGGCTATCGAAATAGCTACAAGCCGATATTTGACAGCTCAATTACCTTGTAAAGTCCCAAGGACGCTTCACATGCATGAGTCACTTGACTGCAGTTCCCAAAAGGAATATCGGGGGAAAGAAGTAGAAGGGAAGGACAAAAAAAAAAAAAAAAAAAAAAAAACCCGCATTTTAACAGATCGACACATCACCAAGAGATAAGACTACGATCAGCTGGAACGTAAGCATTAGCAATAAGATGAAATCACATCTTTAAAAAGTTTCTTAAGTGTGATAACACCTGCCACCTCCGGATAGGTCAACGATGATTCTGCACAAATTATGTTTCAGATAATAACTGCAAGAGAAAATAAAATGGATGCAGTACTAATACAAGAATGAAAATATGCAAATTGAATATACTGAATAAAAATAATCAAGGGAACACAGTTTATCTATTTATGGATTATTAATCATCGCTTTTTGCATCTAAGAAATATAATAACATGATCTGATATACAAAACAATTTCCAAATTTTTTTAGGTACACTGCGAAAAAAAAAAATGGAATAGTTCTGTATCTGCCGTTTTACTGGGCCAATTCGCGAAATTCAAATTGCGTTTTTCATGCCTCGAAAGCACGACTTAGATATTTAGATACGTATTAGATTTATTCATCATTCTAACATAGGTATTTCGACACAAAATCGGACAATTTCTGAAATGACATCCATTTTATATTCGATTCTACGACTCAAATTATGCCTAAGTATTAAATTTTGTAAAATTTGGTGTGAAATTTACGGTGAAATTCAAAAATTTATCTTGGCATTTTTTTTCAGTTTTCGCCAAATATAATTTACTTGGCGAACTCTTAATTAATGGCAAACTATTTTCCTTTCTTTTTTTCATTGCAGGTGAGCGGAAAAAGTCATCGTTCATGCTTTCAAATTATTTTAACAACATGCGTAAACCACATTTGGCGTTATTATCGCTCAAAGGAAAGGTAGCAAAATTCAAAACGCTCCAATATGTAATTCATGTATATCTTAGAAAAATTTTGAATGAAAAACTCTAATTTTTTGCAGGTGTGCCTAGAAATACATTTACTTTAAGATGATGTTAAAACTTTTTATACGTTATACAAACACTTTTTCAAAAAATTTATAAAAATTATTTAAAAATACAAATTTAAAAATTAAATCATGGAAAATGTGCGAATTGTTTGGCTGAAGCCTAAATTTCAGATTCCGGAAGAAGTCCGATTTCGTGTCAAAATATCTACATTAGAATAACGCTATAAGTCTAATGTATATCCTAAGTCGCGCTTTCAAGACATGAAAAACACAAGTTGAATTTCGTTAATCGGCCCAGTAGAACGAGAGCTATAGAACTGTCGCAATTTTTTTTTTCGCAGTGTACATTGTTTGACATCCAAGTAAAGTAATTTACCGTATCTAGTATTGTTAATTTGTTTATATCAGTTTAATTGATATATTTGCAAAAGTTAATGGATAAATTAACTTAATTAAAAGTTAATTGACCAAGTTTAATTAGTTCCTTACCCAAGTTACTTAAGGTATAGGTGTTAGACTAGGTTATCAATGTTTGAATTTAATTGTCCGTTATTCTAATTTAAAAATATCCACAAGTAGTGGAAGTGTCGTCTGTAGTACAAGTTGTGCCTGTGTATTCAATTTAAGACTGAAAGGTTATTTAAACCTTCTTCAGTAATTTATGAGTTGTTTAAGACGTAGCGATAACTCGCTCTTCGTCTAGTAGGATATACAGAACATTTAATTCTAGCTACCAGTAACAATAGCAACCCTATAACCTTTATAGTTATCATATTTTTCAAGAAAATTTTACCGCAGGTACTAATTAGAGCATTCCGTTTTTATGTAATTATTTTAACAGTAAGTACCTTTGATGCTAAAAAATGAACATCTAATTAATACTTCACCACATATTTAATTATTTTTTGTGGGGAAAGGGAGGGAATAGTTCTTTCTGCGGACCAAATAGCCCGTACATTTGTAATTTATATGTATATTGATGTACCAAAAACTAAAATTTTGCAGCTAAGAAATAGAAAGCAGAAATTGCTAAAGTCGTTGTAATGTAGACAGTTTATTATTCCTTCATTTATACTGATAAAAATTTCTCCTTTTAAGCTGTCCTATCATGAAAATCACTCTGCTGTTGCAGTGTTGTTTGCATCCATTCCAAACTTTGCTGATTTTTACTACGAGGATGGAGAAAACGAGGAAGGATTACGTTGCATTCAACTCCTGAATGAAATTATATGCGATTTCGATCTCGTAAGTAAGCATGTAATGTATATGTATATACAGTATACTCTCGATTAACCAGGTACAGATGTTTTCCGTGAGTGGCAGTGCCGGCGCATGTATATTCAAAGCTATGCGCGAGAATGTATAGAAAACAAACGTATGCAAATCCATGCATGATCTAAAAACCGCTGAATTGCATCTTTATGTTTAGTAGCAACGATTACGCAATACAATTCGTTCTGCATGTGCAGATCGAAGGCATCGTTTTAGTTGATCACTGGAATTTTTATCTTGCGTGCGTATTTTCGTGTACATTTTCTTCTTATTCTTTTAAAAGTTTATTTAAAGTTTTAAAAATAAAAAATTGAATGAAGAACAAGTACTAAATGCAAGAAAGCTGTATGCCAAACGAGGCAATAACTAAAGTTATACACCAAACAATTGAAAATGTAAATATCGAAAACGTTGTGTGAGCAAACATCGGGGAATGGTTCGACGGCGATTTGACTGAGGTGAGCTTTCAATGCTTCAGTGACGCGGATATCGTTTCAAATGTCACAAGAATAGAAGAGGCAGTGAGTGATACTTAAAATGAAAACGAAGAAGATTGAAATAATTAATTTAGTCGTGAGACAGCAATGACTTTTGTCGAAACTCTGCTAGACTTAGTAGACCAAAGGGCATTCGAATAAAATGATTAAATAACACTTCGAAAAATGCGCAGTGAAATTCGACAAAACGCTATCAAAAACAAAATAAAACTACTATTTTTTTAAGAAATAAACACATACCATATCTAAGAACACTAATATTTTGGATTACACGTGTCTTTCAGTTTTCCTTGAGCTTCTCCGCCATTAGCCCGGTACATTGTAAATATAACAAGGCCAAAGTTCTGGAAGCCGTCGAGGCAATTTTATGCGGCGCGCGAAATTTAAATCATGTATTTGTTCCACATACGATGTTGCAAAGATTTCAAAACTGTAGTTATTTCAAAACCGAGTTATATTAATTTCATTTTAATTAAAAACGAACATAAATAACGCACCAGGAAACCTATAAAAGGCGCTAATTAATTTATAATATGGTATCAATCTTATTGAAAGATTCGACAATACAGATTTTAATAACTTTTACTAGTACTTCTCAAAAAAATTACTAAGCTTAATTACGAATTTTTTGTCTAATCGCTTTATTTTACAATACATTTATATGTAAACAGCTTTTTCCTTAAAGTTGAAAATTAATAACAAAAGGACCCGATTGACGAATGAGCTTCTACAATCCTTTAGGAAGATAATTTCTAGTAATTTCTTTGCAAGCCTACAAATTTTATCAGTACTGAAACGCCATCAGAGTCAAGGTGTAGTAAGAAGTAAAGAAGTTTATAATTATTTAACATAACATATGAATTTTCAATTATATGTCGACGAAGAATGTTATAAATAAGAGAAAGAGCTGTTATAATTTGTTCTCGGGTTTTGTTTCGCCTGGTAAATGCTATGTTTATTTTTAGTTTAAATTAATTTATTTAATGATTAGATAAGCATATTAGAATTATTTGAAAGCCATGGCAGTCTGAGAATTTAAAATTTATCTGGCAACATATTTCAGTTACAAAGTTTAACCAAGAAAAATGTCTTTCAGGTACCAAACTTTAGATTTCAGATAGGAAATAAAAATTAATTTGAATTTTTACCATTTATTCCTTATTAGTATTATTGTTTGAGATTTAAAATATTTTTTATTTTGTTAATGAAATTTTTGATAAAAAAATAAAAATTCTGACCCGTCAGCTGTTTTCAGATCGTACTTTCGTCCTACATGCAATTTGAGTCTGAGAGCACTGGCGTGAGATATCCTGAATTAAATATCAGTAGATCTGATTGAGCAATAAAATAATTCCAAAACTTCATTTCTTAAATTGTGCTTCCTCACGTTTGGGAATCCAATAAAATGTATTACTAATTTCATATATGTGTTGCCTCGATTATTCTGAAAAAAAAACAGTATTCGTTATTTTATTGTGAATGATATTATAGGTATAAGGGAAAAATTTTATAACGAGAAAAGTAAGTGATTGTGTAGCGAAAATTTGCAAAACTTTCGCAGTCTGGGAATTATACTAACAACTTCAAGAAATATTTCGTAATTGTAGGCTTATGTTAACTTTTCGTAGACGACGTATAACAGAAGCTGGGCAATAACACGAATAACTAGTATGCAATTCAATAAAAATTATATTATATATTTGTAATTTAAGCTTACATTTTTAAACCAATGAGATTCTGGGAAAAAATTCAAGATTACCAATTAATTGAACAGTGCTTTTTTATTAACATATTTTTAATACTCTACTTATTCGACATGGAAATTGGTTGTCAGCGCGGGCAAAGGGAAGGTTCAAAAATATATACTTTAATGATACTTTGGGAAATAATATTTTCTCGTATTTGGAAGTCCAGGAAAACTTAGGACGATTCAGAATGTGTTCTTTTAGTCCAGATTTAGGAATACGGTTAATTACCAGTCTATTTTTTGGAAATTCTAACGAAATTTTGTATCAAAATTACTTTTATATAAAAATACGATTGCTTTCTTTCTTTTCGCTGACAGTAGAACAACAGCATAGCTAGAAGGAGGCGGATAAGACGGTCTACCCGGGCGGTAATTTTTTAACGACGTCGTTCTTCATTTAAAACATTATTTTATTAGGGATATTTATGGGGATTATCGAGGCAAAAAAAGAATAACGAGATCCTGATCTGCTATATGAAATTAAATGAAACGAAAAATGGTTTCTACACTAAGCAAAGTATCCAAACAAATTACTTAGAAATAAGTATCAGCTTTGAACATTGGATATGTCTGAAAATCTGGGTATATTTCTCTTTAATTTCAATAACATATAATGCAGTGCTACCAACTTTATAGGAAAATCATTAATTTTAATTAAAAGATTTTAAAATTAAATGTGAGTATATGAATTCTTGTTTTAATCATTTCTAATTCAATAACTTAGTTAATTTCCAGCATCGTTTCTTTCCAGTTATTATATGAGAGAGGATTTCATTCAGTAGAAAAAATCAAGACAATAGGTAGCACTTATATGGCTGCTTGTGGGCTTCGGAGCCAGGAAAAGGTAAAATTTTTAATCCAGTTTTCTCTTAAGCCTTTTACGTAAAACTCAAATAACGTTTCAAATACATCTCAAGTCTGAAAAAAAAGTGTTAACGGTTTAAAATATCTAAAATGCTCTCTTAAGTTTAATTTTACAAAGTGCATTTAGCTTTTCATTCACCGAAAGCAATCAAATGCAAGAAATAAGAAGCTGAAGTGAACAATGCTTTCTATCATAATCACTAATTCTTGATAATAAGTACAGTACCCAGATTAGAATTCTAAGAATTGGCTAATATGTCTAAGCGCGTGTCTAATATGTATATAATTTACAGGATACGAATAATACATAATATGTGTGCACGTAAGATTTTAATCCGATTTCAAAGAAATACACAAATTACTATTTCTTACCGTCATCTGAACTGTATGATCACAAAGCTACTCAGGTATTTAAAAGTCAGTAAATCCAAACATAAATTTTTTTATTAGTCTGATTACATAAATTTAAATATTTTAAGTGCATTTTATTAGAAGTAGTTTCTTAAAACTCTTTAGTTTAAAATTAGTTTATGTATAAAAGTATATGCCTGTAAAATATTTAAAGTACTTCACTAACGCTGTTTCACTAAGATGGTTAAACTACTTCAATAAGTAGAAATGGGATAATAGAAATTTTGGCTTTTATATATATTCTTAATAAAGCTATATGCCGAAAAAGTGTAAATGGAATTTGTAACAGAGTAACGTCACCTATTATCTTTCAAACGTCGTAACACTATTATAATTATACTGATTATGGGAAACTGTAAATACGTACTTAATGGAATATAGTAGAAATCTTCAGCTTAAAATTAACTTTTATATTAAAATAATTGTATTATTGTTTGTTATTGCTATTATAATATACCATGCCCACAAAATCCTTACCCGGCCTTTATTTTTGCAACCGGAGATAATAGATATATGCTACTAGTTATGTTGTTGTGTCCATGAGCCCATTCACCCTGAAAGAGTCCAGTACAAAAAGGGGATCTTGAACCAGATCCTGTCTGGTAAGCCCCAGACAAGATAAAATGTTTTCAGGATTGGCCTGTGCGGTAGAAAACTTAGTGCATATTTCAAAGTGTTTATTACCACCGACAAAAGTCATTGATAACAGATGACCACTAAGGAATCTAGTAAGTGCAGTTTGATCTCGTCTATTGCTGCTCTGAACCAAGGACCCACCAGGGCACTTACTCTGATACCATGGGTGCACTGGTGGAACCATCCAAATGGCCTTATTCTTTGCCTTACATTTAGAAAATAGTTCCATATAAGTAGGAGGAGCGGCAGGCGTTGTGGTCTCGCTAGCACCAGCCTTTAGCCAATCTCTCCGCAATTTCGTTTCCAGCAACGTCGACATGGGACGGAATCCACTAAAAGTGGATTCGATGAGAAAGGAAAAGTTGTTTTAGTTTCCTGAGGATGTCTGCACTTGTATTACATATTATGCCAATCAGCCAAGTGCTAGACGGCACTTCTACTATCCGAAAAGTTCCAGATATCTTTTAACTGAGGAAGCTACATGATGGAGTCCAGACCCTCCAGAAATGCAATAAGCTCGCTTCGAAATACCTATCAGAAGTCTGAATTTCTTCATTGAATTCTGATTTCTTGATCCCGAAATCTAATATAAATGCCACTGCCAGAACTGTCATTAACAAGTTCACTCGCTGTCCGTATACACGTGGACAGCGCCCGTAAGGCCATTATTAATTATTTCAAGAGCTAACTGTTTCAAGCAGCACGGCAGTTCCATTTGTTTGCTAACTTGGACAGAAAGGTTAACATGAAAGTAAATCCCATCGAGACCTTCAGAGGGGTCGATAATCTGAGAAAAACTGTGATGTTCTACAGAACTGGCGATGAGATGGTCAGAAACAACTGTCCAAAGGGACTACCACGTTTGAGCCTCTGGTTATTGCTTCATGACCCTAGAAATTTCGAGGTACGATTCTCTAGGCCAAGACTGGAGAGCTTATAGTAGTACTTCACTAAACATGCATTTCTCTTAAGGCTGCAGATTGCCTTCATAAAGCACAATATCTTTCGGGCATGAATTGCGAATGTCAGTTATAATCCTTGCAGCACTAAGCTGTACACGTTCAAGTTTCTGTAGGTTTGAATCAGAGGCACAACAGAAGTTGAAGAAGCCGTACTCGAAAATGGGTCGAATAAGTAAACATAGGTGTTTCTGGGGGTAATAGAATCGGCACTCCAATCACGTCCCGAGATGTACTTAAGGATAGGATATTAATGCGTTTCCTAGCTCTCAAAACAAGATATCCCAAGTGACTATTACCCAAAATTTCAGGATCCAATATGAAACCCAAACATTTTGGGTGTTTCTCCACTTCCAAAGGCTGACTGTTCAACAGGATTCTTGGTCGAAAATTATATAATTTTCTATTGGTTGTGAAGAAACTCACAGTTAGAAGAAGTTAATTGTGAAGAAACTCGCCAGTTGTGTAAATGCTTTAAATGATGCAAAGATTCACGTTTTTGTATTTTTAAATTTAAAGAAATTAATTTTATTTAAAATACGAAATATAACTTTTTACATGTGCCTTAGGTCTCTATACTTTTATTAAGGAACATAATTGCTAATTTTGCCGGTAATTTCTAGGATAGTCGATATATGTCTGAAAAACAAGAGCCGTCTTCGTTGTGATGCATTTATTATAGTTCCTGGTCGTTTATCTTGTAAATATCAAACATCGTTTCATGTAAATATTCTTGATCATCGCGATTTTAGTTTCTCCATGAGCTGCATACTTAATTTGTTTCTGCATTCACATTCCTTCGTAGTGTATTCCGAAAACCGTTACTTTTGCCATGTTCTATTACCCCTTAAAGCTGTAACCATACAGTATATATATGTCTTTCTATCGACAGGGATCTCTGTTTACGGAAGAAAATCCCACACAGAATGTAGTAACACTCGTCAAGTTCTCGGTTGCTATGATGTCTTCTTTGCAACAACTAAACAAAGATGCTATGCAAGATTTTCAACTTAGAGTAGGTGAGAAAACAGTTTTGTTTCATAATATGCCGATTTCAGGAGTAATTGTTATTACTTGGCGTTAATAAACATCATAAACTAGTTATTAAAAAATCGAATGGGAATAGGAACTGCTTATTAATTTTAAAAGATAACCAAAAACGTATATGCTGAAGATTAATCAATACGAGGCAATATTATTATGCAAAGGTTCTGCTATATATTAGTACCTTTTCGATATAAATTTTATTCTTTAATTTCGATTTGTAAGATGAATTAATTTGAAATAGTTTTCTGTAAACAACTTAAGTATAGAATTTTCTAATGAAGTACTAGGATTAAATTTAGAAATATACAATTTCAAATTCAATAAAGTGCACATTAAATGTGCTTCTGCAAGCTTTTGTGTACATGTGTACGAAATATAATTAAAGTCTTCTGTACACGAAACAATTAATATTCCTTTCGCTTACACAGAGATAAAAATTCCTGGAACAAAATTTGAAACAGAGAAGTAAACCAATACTGCACAAATTTTCAAATGAATACAATTTTACCGAAGAATTATCTGCCTTTAAGGATCGCAAGCACAAATAAATTTGCAGTTAGCAATCTTAATTGAATATGCATTTTTTTAAAATTACATATGCTAATATCAGTTATATTCAGCAGTTAGTATTTCTAAGTTTCATCTTTGATTTAAATCAGATTATTTGAACAAGGCGAAGGCTCTCTACTTAACAAAAAAAGAGACCTCTGGAGAGCTTTCTAAGAGAAACTGACTTCTATCCATGTTACGTATGGGAAAATATATGAAACCCAAACATACCGCCAGTCTAATTCCCAATCGAAGCTTGTGATCTTGTATCCCACAGTCTATGGGTAAGAATTGTAAGAATTGGAGGCTCCCTCCCTTCAGCCCACCTGGACACAAGTGTCCCCATAGCTCAAAAGAAGGGGCCCCGTATAGTCTATGGGTATCGAACTCCCAATACTTAACGGTCTGAACCAATCTACCGCTGAAGAGCGTTTCATTAGTACATTAATTTTCATTATTATTAAAACGGCACTAATTCAAGTATGAAAACGTAAACAATGTTATAAAAAATTTCGGTGATCCCTTAGATATTCCCGAGCCCGATGAGAGTCGGGATGCAAGAAGCTACAGCGGGGAAAAAGATAGCGATAATTAGAAATAAACTATTAATACTTTTGTTAGAAACCACTTTAAAAAACATTTTTTTTTAAAGAATTAACCCTTTATAAGGCCATTTTAATCTAGTCCGGCTAAGTTTCTTCTCACATGGAGAATTTCCTTCACGTTTTCTTCAAAGGGACTCCCTCAGTGAACTAACTGCCAAGAGCAGGAAAAATCATTCTGCTAAACACCAGTATACCACTCAAAGTATTTAATATAGTGATTGTATATTAAAATATTTTTGGGATTTAGATTAATTTAAGAAAAGAAATTCATTTAACTTATTAGATCAAATAAATTTGATTTTTAGGACTCACTTTTTTTTGGTGGGACGTAAACCCATTATATGCAGGATTACCATCGCCCATTATATGCAGGATATTTTATATTTTTTATTTCCTTTTCCGTTTCATTACATGGAATTTATAAAACATATTTTGTAAATAACAGTCCGCAAAAGGAACTGTAAATTAGGCATATTTTATATTCATATATATTTCTTTCCTCAGTTGAAAATTTCTCATCTGTTCCATTATATTATGTGGACCTTTGTCTGAATCTTCAGGGCCATTTGCGAAGTAAAAAATAGTTCAGTAACTTCCATGTGCTGTGTATTTCTTGCGTTTTTTTAAATTCATTTACAAAGTAAGTGTAAAAAATAATTGAACTACACCTAATTCTAAACTAAGATTTCTAGTGAAGACAAATATAAAACATTGCCCAATATAATTAAGATTTTACTTACCGTAAAGAACTGGGCATAAACTTGAACTTCTGTGTTTATAAATTCTGTGCTTTATAACCACAAATAAAGCTACTTAGAAACGATCAAATGAATAAAGGGTCATGCAATGGAAAAAAACGGTTTTCTAGCGTTTTCCTCTGTTTGCCCCATGCTAACCTTTATTGTTAAACTCACGTTATATAATCAAGGCATTCATTGATATTGTTTTTGTATTTTCTGAAGTTATTACTAGATTGCAGCAACATTCAAAAGTAGCGAAAAGCTTACCATGGACATTTAAAAATTGATGAAGTTGGTGGTAAATATGCTTTCCACGGCCTTATAAGAGTTAAAGTAAGCGTAATCCAATAATTATACTAACTGCGTTTTATGAGATATTTGCTGTATGATATCCATAGAAGTATGTCATTGGGCGGACAACTTTTCCACTAGTAGTTTTATAGTATTTCTAACATTACCTTATGTTCCAGTCAATCGCTACAATATTTGATAATTATAACCCCCCTCCCTCAAAAATTTTTTTTTTCTTTTTTACTAGAGCTTATCATATTCCCCGTTCAATACTACTTTTAATTTGCATAGAATTTTCCGTGGGTGTTTTTTTTTTTTATATATCTGTTTGAAATACCTACAATGGACATAGAATTAATATGGCTGCTAAAAAGATTTCATCAAGACTTTGGAAACTATTTATCAAACATTATTTACGTAGATTGTGTTACTGAAAAAAAAAATTGATTTTTTTGCACTAAAAGAAATAAAATTACTTTTGACAAATGATATTTAAGAAAGCAAATCAAACTTTGTTATATGATCGATTTGAAATATCCATGAAAAAATCATTTTTAGAAAATTTTAAAATGTATCTCAACTTGCAATACATAGGAAATTAAATTTGAAGCAAAACATATGAAAGTATAAGGTATTATTGGCATTTCTTATGAGTATAGTGAATATGCGTGGGTATAGTACTTAGCTGACCTCTGGAGTGTACTGAAGAAAATTATCAAATTCTCGAACGCTTTGCCAAGACAGATTGCTTGCTTTCAATTACCTCCCAGTTTCATATGTGTAATACTATAATCAAATACAATGTCTATAAACTGAATAGCAACAACAACAAAAACTGAGAGAGAAAGGAGAATTTCTCAACCTATTATATTGTAATTGAATTCATCTAATAATATTTTACATAAATGTTAAGATTATCATATAAATATTGACAGAAATGCAAGAACACACTCATAATATGTCTATTGGAAAAACCTTTAACATAAAAAATAATAAAAAGAAAAAAAATTACCTTAATATGAAAGGGTTTTTCTGTTATAAGCCAATAAAAAGTGCACGTTTCATTTTCTACGGAGAGACAGATTCTGGATTTATAAACACTTTCATAAAATTTATATTTAACACTTTTACCTTATTCTTGGGAAAATGTTCACATTATGATTGAGCTTCAGATCGTGTTTGAAATAAGAAATTAAGAAACAAAAATTAATTCTGAGATAATTTTTTTCTTTTAACAGGAATTTCAGTGGGGCCAGTTATGGCAGGAGTTGTAGGCACAGTGAAACCACAATATGACATTTGGGGAGATACTGTAAATGTTGCTAGTAGGATGGATACCACAGGCATTCCAGGAAGAATTCAAGTAATTATTTATTTCATTTAGAGTTATATGCCAATTCTAGTGTTTTTAATGGTAAAGGAATGTCCATGTATTCAGTCAGTAAGTTGGACATTACTTACGTACTACTACGTATAACTACAAGAGTATTTTAATATTTTTGGTAGTAACGCATTATCCCATCGACTGTGAAAGTTGTTTACCATCAAATCTGACGGAGATAAGGTCAAAGCTGCGCCAATCGTTTCCGCGGAATTTTGAAAAAAGTAACGCTTTCTTTTTAATAAACAATCAGTATTCGAGCCACTTCGTTTCTGAGCTTAGTAAAGAGGCTTTCGTCAATTTCTACTATTTTGTTAGGCCCTCCGATTTTTCCGGAAGCTCCGTTTAGAACGCTTATGATTGCAAACATCTCCCAGGTAATTGATCCAATTTATCACGGATTTGTCGACCATATTCAGCTTATAAAATAGTGTCCATTAATAGACACTTTTATGATGGTAATATCCCACAACTTTAAAACTGGTCACTATTCTGTAAAAGGCAGGCCGCAAATTTTAATTTTTTTTTAATGTAAAGGTAAAATACAGCAATAACAGTTAATTTAAATCCTTATTAATTAAAATACTAATAGTAATAACGTAGCTTATCCAGAATCAATTGGGTTTACATCTAACAAAAGCGCAGATGTTGTCAATATATTGTTACATCACCCGCAATTGGTGCTAAATCATGACGACAGTTTGATGGTCGACAGGATACCCCCAAAGGAATGCATATTTTTATTTTTTTTAAAACAATTTTATTTATCCAAGAAAAAAATTCTTACAATGATTTGATTTAAAAATGTTCGCATTTCTTTTCCCTCCATATCAAGTCGTTAAAAATGTAATCAGAATCAATGGCTTTTTAGAATCGCAAATTTTTCCAATTACTAATTGATCTAAAGTAATTAATTTTCATAAATTATTCATTCAAACAAATATTTGTTACTTTTAATAGACCGAAGTAGATTATTCAAAAAGTTGACAAATATATTTTACAATTAAAGGCTACATTTTACAATTCACTGTATTAGAATTAAAAGTAATAGCGGTATTTGTCGTATCAAAGATACTAAGTTACTGAATTCCATATCTGAAGTTACTACATCCAGCTAACAATAGAGACAAATGACATAAATAGCTAAAGAAATGCAACTTGTCGAAGAACCTTTGAAAATGTTTAATATACGAATATACGAATAAAACAAATATACGAATAAAACAAAAACATTCATTTATAAATTTTTAGACATACGTTTACAGATATCCATTTATAGTTTTTTTTTTTTTTTTTTTTCCGTATTTCCTAACTTAATTTTTTTTTTTCTAGATGTTTAGCAGCAGCTTTTTAATTTTCCCCTCTTTAAGTGCGTTCAGAGAACGAACTTCCCTAAATTTTAAAATAGATTCATGTACTGATTGTATTCATCGTTCGAAACAAATTCTCCCAAACTACCTGGGAACGTCACCCCGAATCATTTCCTTTTAACTGTTGAACTTTATGCCAGCTTAATAAAGGAACCGACGATTCATAGCGAAACAAACAAGAACTGACATTCAGTTTACGGTTTTACTAAGTCAGCTGTACTAAATCAACCTTCTCTAATTAGTTATGTATGATTTTAGACCTAAGAAGAAGTAGAGACAACACTGAAAACGGGTGAGATTCAAGTTACAGGAAAGTAGAAATGAAGATATTTTAATGGATATTGTAATGCTAATATTAATATGTTTTCCAGTTAGAATTTAAGTTTCTTTTAAAGAAATAATATTATGATAGTTACCTACACTTTATCCATGATCTCATCTTACTGTAATCGCGTCCTTCGGAAATTAAAATATTCGCATAATTTTTCTCTCTTGACTTTCAGACAGTAAAATTAGTAGAACAAAGGAGGGAATACTGGAGGAAAAACACTATATGCATTTTAGATGTATAAAATGTTTATATTATTTTAAATATCTCTATCTTCTTTGTAGGTCGTTCAAGAAGTTGCCGATTTGATAACAGCTTCAGACTGTCCCTATAAGTGTGAATGTCGAGGGGATATTTTCGTCAAAGGCAAAGGTAAACTGAAAACGTATTTAGTTCAGACACCCTATGATGAGCCCAATATCCAAGACACGCAGCTGTAAAGAGCATCGATCACTAGTTTCTCTTTTCTCCACCAACTGAACTTCATTAAGAGGATTTCATTTACAGATCACATCATGACATGGGAACATGTGAATTTTATTCAATATCAGCAGCATAAAAGAAACTTATGACAAAGTCAGAAAGCAATTGATATGAAAATATCTAAACTGCATCTAGACATGCATTTATTTTCATTATGCACTTTAAATACCATGAAACTTGATATACTTTCTTAAAATATGTAAATTGAGAAATAATAAGAAAAAACCTAAAATCAAGCAGTCAGTCATTAACGTTTTTAAGTGTCATATAATCATCAGTCATAATCTTAAAATTAATGAAAAAAAAACTGGAAAAAAATGCACGTGGAAAGCTATTGAAACAAAGATAGCTCCAAACAAGAAATGTTTTGATATCGCATCTCATTTTATTTCACAAAGTAATTTTTTTTATTAATAACATGAGAAAAGTACTGAAAAACTATCTCCTAAAAATTTAAAATATACTTCATTATGCATTTTCCTTCTGAGTTAAGATTCTTGAAAGTTCATTCACCTAAACACAAAAATTCTGAAAATTGATGCGTTTTTAAATATATGAGCAGCTTTTCATTACAAAAATCGGATAATCATAAAGAATTTCAATGAAGAATTAAAATTTTTATGATAAAACTGTTAATTAAGGAGATTTAGACTGCCCACCTGGCCATGAAGTAGCACTATGACCCATGATTCGGTCATCCCGAGCTTCAACAAAATAACCGATTAGCTGAGCTATTTCTTTTTCCAAAAAGCATCATTATCGAAAATTGTATTGAATGACTGAATTCAGTATATTGTTTCGCCTGCCAGCTAACAAACCACATCTTCATTTTCAGCAAGTGTTTGTATATGTGGAGGGGAGGGGGGGAGAACGAGCATCTTATTAGTTACAGTAAATGAAACCCGATAACCAATGTTTGTTGAAATGGAATGTTACGCAGACTGGTTTTCATTTGTTGGCAGTTGCAGAGAAGAGAGGAAGAATTAGACCTCGACTAACTTAAGTTCAGCTACCATTGCGAATTGCACTCCTTCTGATTTCATCCAGCTTATTATTTTATTAAGTCTATTATTATTGTTATCTTATCAAAAATAAACTTTTAGTAAAACATTGCATCTTTGTTTTACTTATTTCTTTAAAACTGTTCATCGATCAATCATCCAAAAGATACTAGCAGAAAATATCGCCATTTTGGGGCTTCAATAACATTTTTATTTTATGGGGGTGTTATTCAAATAGCACAAACTGTGCAGCAATAACTCTTTCTTAAAGAAACAAAATAGAGGCTTCTTCATCTCTCGGCAAATCTCAAATCGTCAAAATCCGTTTCAATTTAAAAAAAGAAAAAAAAAAAAAAAAAAAAAAAAAAAAAAAATGAAAATTAACCAAAGTGGTGACATTTGCCGTCAAGGAAATACAGAAACAACAATAACAACAACACATAAAAAGACTGACAGAAAAGAAATGAGAAATTTACGACTAATATGTGAGGAAATGCTAAATGAAGGCGCATAATAACTTCTTTAAGCTATGACAACGTCTTATCAGCCTAACCATATGTGGCGGCCTCGTTTAAGAGTGCGCACCGTTTTTGCGCCAGAATCGAGCCATGACGAGTATACTCTCGTCATCACACAAAGCTAGTTGCGCTGGTAAAATATTGGCTGAAAAGATGGGTTTATTTTATACAATTGAAAATTTATTAACTAATTACTTATTGGTTAACATAAGAATATATCACTACATATAAACTAAAACCGCAATAAATTAATAACTAGTAGACATATGAAAGTAAGATTAATTTCTGCTAAGGAGTGATTATTCAGCCGGAAAAAAGACTTATACCCCAAACTTTGCAAATCGGACTGGTAACTCTGCCTTGCCTCTCTATCTCCTATTCTTCTTCTTTCTCTCTCTTTTTCTCTTTCTTTTCTTCTTTTCTCTTCGTCTTAGTTTGCCGTCTGGAACACTTTCGCGTAGTGTTTTTTTTTTTTTTTTTTTCTTTTTCGATGTTCCGTTGTTATATATCCTGATTGATTCCCCTCCTTCTCCTATTGGCTTCATTATTCTTCTAAATGGCCGAGTACTTTTTTTTATTGTCGATTTAGTAGTCTTAAATCAGGAGACGTCGCAAAAGTGTCTTCATAAATTTAAGTAAAAAGTTTATACACGATAATGTTCCATTATTATATTTTTTTTTTAGTAATATGAAGGCATCTCAGACACCATTAACATCTAAGAATAGAGAAATATCTTTTTGTAGTACTTTTAGGTCGTTTCTTGCTGGAACTACGCTATGATAATTCCATCCTCATACCACTCCGCCCATTTTTTTATTATAATCAATCACTAGCTCCAGTTTCTTTGTTATTATTTTTCTTTTCTCTGTTTCTATTACATTGTCATTATGTACAGTACTTACTAAATAAATCTCCCTCTTATCTTTCCATTTCATATGCATGACGAGTATACTCGTCAATCACAGTTAACTGGTTAATTAACAAATGGCGAAATCTGTGATATGGTTTTAAATCCAGAAAATATTGCCACCGATTGTGATGAACGTGATAAAGGGGTTGTTCAGAATGGAAAAATTTTATTGACTATTTAGTGGGAATTTTCGAGACAGCGTTTATAAGACTTTAAAGAGAAGTAAATTTGTACCTAACAAAGAAATTGCGTCTCTCGATAAAATTTATGAGGACAGCAAACTTTGTACTTTAAATAAGGATTAATATATCTCTAAAAAATTAAAGAGACAGAGAGACACGTACCATAAAATTGCTTTAACAACTTTAGTTGAAAGAAATGTTAAATAAAACAAACGTCGACGTTTGTTATGATCGAAACGATGCTAACGACTTTTTCTTGTACATTTCATTAATAAACATTTTTTACAAATTTCGTTAACAAACAAAACTTTTTCTTAAAAGTTTTGGTTTCCTCAAGTGCTCAAATGCTTCATTATTTCATATTTTTAAAATTTTGTATTTTCCGCGTATCATTTAACTAGATTTAAATTGATAATCTACATTCCAGAAATTTCCGATATTCGGAATCCTCGAGCCAGTTTCTCTAAGAAAATCCTCCTTCCCCTTAAACATAACAGCCCTAGAATGTTTAGCCGTAATCAAATAAACCAAACCAGAATCTCCGAAGCCCTGACGATTTTCGATCTTGGACTTAGTACTACTGTATTTGCTAGTAAACACCACAGCCTTGATTCAACAATGTGATTAATGGTTTATTGCAGCAATGAAAGAATGCTACTACCGTGGCATGAGTACTAGAGTCCTTTACAACATGGATGCTATGGCTATATATGCAAATGAATTATTAGCGAAGAAAACTTGGAATCATGTCTCAGAAAAGTTAACAAAGAACTGTTTTAAACACAACAAACCTTTTTAATAGATGATCAAATAAAGAAAGCTGAAAATGACAAAGCAATATGTCCAAATTACATGAATTGTGAGGAATTTAATGCACGAGTGGACGGACGGGTACAGATGAAAAAATTTATGTTATAATATTGCTGACTGAAAAATATATCCACTTTCTGGAAAGCACATCACATGATAAACTATCTGAAAATGATTATGATGAAATCAGCGAATTCCCTACAAACTGAGATGAGGGATGCCCTATGATTATTAAGATTAGGGGTACAGCACATTGGTCAAATAATTTCCAGAAACATTATAAGTAATTTGCAAATGAATACTTGGAAAACACTTGCAGGCATTCCATCAGTAAGCACATTTTCTCCTTAATTAATTAAAATACTATGAAAGTACATATTTTTATGTATCTAGTTACATTTATATTAAATTAGTTAAATTCCATACCTGTTTTGAAGGACACCTTTTTTTCATCATTTAATATTATTATTTGGTTAATTTTATCAAAATAGTCGTGCACAAAGGAGATCACTCTAAGCAGAGCTTATTATATCTATAATAAAGATCTTTTATACATCTTGAAAGTATTAGATGACTTCAAAGTTCCATGCTCTATTTAAAAATAAAGCACAATGATATCTTAAAAGAAAACTGGTCCTTTTATGTATGACGCACCGAGTTTGGAACAGATGGAAAAGGAAACAGCGAGACGCCGGCCACGTGCATCTTAAATGAACCATTTCAAGCTACTTTCTACCTCCCCCTTACTCAAAAACTATTAGACCTACAAACTTGAAATTTTGTTTATTAAATAGAGATCCCTTGAACACTTGGAATCCCTAGTTTCATTAATCTATTTCTTATAGTTATGGAATTATTAAGGTCTGAAAATACCATTTTTATCACGACTCACTAATCAAAAACCTAGACTACTTCTAAATGACTTAAATACTTGAAATTTGCCACCATTAGGTATATACAAAGGAAAAAATCTAAAACTTCAAGAAACTGATTATTGAGATTAAATCAAATAATACTCATTATGAGCATTTGACATCACCAATAGATGGCTTTGCATCGATCACCAGTTTCCACGCCACCCAGATGCTAATTGACTTTGCGAAAGTGAAGAATGCAAAACCTATTTATAATAGATGAAATGATAGCATAGAGGTAGAGTGCAGGACTGGATTTTTTTAAAAATTTTGTTAGTGGGTTCAGGCCTACCTATAATGATAAACTAACTACAGTGACATCACGAAAAGAATGTAAACAGCTTTCAAACAATAAAAGTGTTGCTGTTCAGTAACTCATTTAAGTAATGAAACAGATGCCAGATAAAAATAAAAAACAGGAAACGTGAATCTATACCTTAAAATAAAATTTGAATATTTATATTGTTTGATAATTAAAAATACCTGTTTAAACTTATTGTTTATATTTTTACGTCTCATTAAAAATCCAGAACTTCAAAAAACTATCGAGGTTAAACCAATTATAGTCATGGGGAATGACAATTCAATAATTAAGAAATTGCTAATAAAAAAAACAATGCAGCATAAACACTACATTTTTACCATTACAGAAAATATAGAAATTGCTAATAAAAAGAAATCGATGAAGCGTAAATGCAAGGAAAAAACAAAATTGAATGGCACACATTTGTTTACACATTTTTTAATTTAACTGTCTAAATCAGAACATAAACTTTAATTTAGCTTTTTAAAAATTAATGATACCATAACAACATAAATGTGAAAAAGGAGCCAAGTTTGGGAGGAATGATGTTTTGTGTAGTCTGTGTCACCGATAAAAGAACTGAGATCTAAGGGATGGCAAATTTCACAGCAGTTTCTTTAATCACAGAGGAATGTACAAAGTTCTTCAGTTCATTTAAAAAACAATTGTTAGAAATCTGATATCAAAGAAAGTAATAAATTGTTTTTTTAAATGAAATGAAGAATGTTGTACACTCCTACAGCTATGATTAAAGGAAATGCTATGAAACTTGCCAACCATTAGATCTCAACTCTTTTGTAGGTGACACAGACTACACCAGACATCGTTTCTCCGCTCCTTTTTCACTTTTATTTTGTTGTTATGATTTCTTCTTCATAAAAAATACATGGTTTTTCTACAAAGAGAGATGTGAGATAGTTTTTGACAACTTCTGCAAAATCAAACTTCTTCAAATACTTCGCAGAGACTGGAACGTCATATGAATGTCTGGAGACTATGATGACTTCTGGAGGATTTTCCATTTTTACTCCTCCAATCAGATTTCTTGCTATTTTCGAACGTTTTGGTAGAAACTGTAACATCTAAAATTGTATAGCAAGAAGGTCTAAAAACTTTGGTGGTTTCTGTAGGGCTTTTCATTTTTATACCATTAACTGTACATGTGGTATGTATGGCATTGTCATGATAGATGACATGCCTTTCAAGAGGCTAAAACTAGATTTTTTTTTGAGAATTTCTACATTCAGTTTGGTAAGCAGCCATAACTGTTTCAGCCTATGTCAAAAAATGAAAGAAAATAATTCTCCTGTAATCCAACCAATCAGATAGCAATACCTCTTCATATTTCTGCAATTCTACCAATTAGCTATTGTCCTGAATTTGGCAATTTTATCCGTCTGTTTTCAGCACTTTCTCCATTAAATGTTCTCACTTTGGGTTCACTTTTCATCACCTCTTATGGCATGATCTAAGAATAGCTCTTTCATATGATGCTCATCAAAGAAATGGCCACAGAAAAATGTTCTAATCTATTCTTTTCCAGAAAAAAATACACACACACCTCAAGTTTTGAAGGAAATCGAAGTTTCTCTTAATTGTGAAAATAAATCAATATTCTAAATCCAAATTTCTCTTAATTGTGAAAATACATCAATCCCTGAGTTACTTTATATTAAAGCATGCAAAAAGGCTGTCCAAAGTGAGGTTTATCTTCCAAATTAAAATCACGATTTCAAAATCTATGAAATTAATTTTGTTATCACGCTAAGCAGAAGAAGCACATTCCAAATACATACCTCAGATGACTTTTGCTGCGATTTCAACTCTCGCTTCTTTTGAAAAATTGCATAACATAACACAAATGTAATTTTTCAGTCTTTCTTTTGATAAAGTTCCTATCATACACAAATCTTCTCACTTCCCTCAAAGATATCACATGGCCATGAAGTAAGTATCAGTGATGATCTGTGGTTCCCATTACTTATGAAAATTGGGATATAAAATTTTACAGTGATCCAATAAGCAAGAAAAAGTGTTAGAGCCCTATATAAATAATGTATTAGCCTCTCTATACTGATATCAACTGCATACTGATCATGCCTTATTTATTTATTTATTTATTTTTGTAAAAGTCACACAAAATCCAACTTCATGGGCAGCATGTATTTTATGAAAATAGTTATATATATTTATTTCAAAAGAATTTGAAACAGGCATCTTCAAATAGAATGAAGTTTTTTTCTGAAAATGCCAATTCATGGTTAAATTGTTTCAAATTTTACTAGTCTTTAATAATTTTTTTTCTAAACCTCTTCTCTTTATGTAAACATGTTAATTAAATAAACAAATAAAAACAGATTTAGTAAAATTTGAAGAATTTATTCAAAATGAACAAGAAACTAATAAATAACTCTGTCTTCAACACCTTCTACAGAAGGAAGATCATCCAATGAGTGTAGAAAATTGATACTATTAATTCTTATTAAAACATATGGTGTGCGAAACCCTGAAAAGAGAAAAATTGAAAGCATTACAAATCATAATTGCAACTAGAACAAAACATATCTTTATCACTAAAATATTATTAATTCTTTTAAAACCATTTACATTTTTAGTTGCATTTTCAACCAATAAAAAATTTACATAGCAACAGATAAAATACCATTTGCTCTAGATTTTTAAGATAGTATATATTTGGTTTAGTAGTATGGAATAAAATATTTATACAAATTAAACATGTAACACATTTTAAAATGCATAATACCTTCTATCAAAACTGATTCACCTTAAAAGGTAATGTTGTCCTTGATTTTGTTGATTTCTAAAATAGTCTATTAACATGTATGTTTTTTATCTACTTCCTAAATTATTGTAACCTTTGCATACAGAAATACATAAAAGCTATCATATATAACTTTTTGTTGAACCCAGTTTCAGTTATTCATATTCCAATAGAGAGTAATTTAATTTATAAAGCCTGTGAATGAAAAACTGTATTCTGTAGTATTGATACAAAACACCATAATTCTCTGATAATCTGATTTGACGTAAAGATATTTCAGCTAACATGAATAGAATGCTACACAAATGAAATGAAAAAAGCTGTGCTACAGCTAATTCTATAACAAGGGATATTTTATTACAAAATATTAATAAATGCTTACTTATTTGAACTATTAGTTCTCTACACATATAGGTTTTAAGATAGGTCATTTGGTTCACATAAGTATAATGTATACAACATAATTTCACAGAATATAAATATTTTCAAATATATATATATATATATATTTATTTATTTATGACAGTTAACTTGCCTTCCTTCCAGGCTGTTAGCCATGCAGAGTTTACATGCTAGCTTATCTGAAGATTCTAAGGCTAAGAGGTACTAGGACAGTGATATGAGTCCTTGGTATTTGACAGCACATAGCATAGTAACAGGTTCATTGTGAGAGCATACAACGATTGGCAGAAGTCATCACCATACACTACCTGCATGGTACTAGGACAGTGATATGAGTTCTTGGGATTTGACAGCACGTAGCTTAGTAACAGGCTCATAATGAGAGCATACAATGATTAGCTGAAGTCATCACCATGCACTACCTTCAGCAATCAGGCAAAGACAAAATCATGACAGCACAACACGAACACAGCAAAATTCCAGCTGCTCAAGTTAATGTATAACTATGTAGAAGGATATAATACACTTATCATGATAAGCAAACGTAATGAAAATATACAAAACAATAGCCCAATGATAATGATAATTAAAACAATATCTTTGCCATACATATATTTGCTTTTGGTACATATCTTTGCCACCTCTGGGAAAAAACAAGAATGTCATGGGATCCATAGTGACTATCAGCCATCTCTCGTGTCACTTCCTGAGCATATGCTCCTGAGTGTCGCACTTAAGATGTGAGTGGGGAAGAGTTAAGATTTCTTTCATCATAAAACATTGTTTGTTGCCTATTTAGTTAACTTGTCAGCCAGATCATTTCCAGTTATTTCTTTAGCAGGAAGATTAGTAAAAAGAAATTTCCAACATTAGGTGACAAAAGGCATGCATGCATGAATTTCTGTGCGTATGCCTAAACAGAAGGCTAGCCACTGAGACATGAAAAATCATGGCATTTGGTACATGGTTGAATTCACAGTAGACTGAAGCATAGAGCTGCGAATTCCACCCAAAAAAATTATTTAAGCTGAACCTGCATGTACACTGTTCTGAATGATGTTGCTCTGTAGGTAGCAAAAGGCATTGCAAGCACAATTTTTCATCTTGGATCCATCCATTTGAATGGCTTCGGCAACAGCAGTACACTGCAGTAGGTCCACACACATGTTCTGTGTCATACCTTAATGTATAAGGTGGCGATGCAAAGTGACCTTGTGTTTTTAAGTACGTAAACATGTCTGGCCTGAGAGATCATATGTTCTATGAAAACACTGAAGCAATCACATAGTGATAACTGCACCAGGTGATTCCTCATTCTACAGCTAAGCCTAACCACAGTTATACAGTCAAAAGTCGTTAATTCGGACACCCCATAATCCGGAATGATCTATAATCCGGACCTCAAAGCTAAAATCTTTCTGTGCATGCGCCGCGTTGACGCATGCTCATAGGCGTTTTACGCGTGCTCGCAAGACCTTTACGACTGCGCAAGCGCAGAATACGTTTTCGCGTGCGCGTTTAATGTATAACGGACGGTATAAGCTAAAATTATCTAATTATCTATTTCAGTTAATGTTGATGATTGCATTGTTCCTTAATCTTCGAATTGGATCCGGCTTATTATTTTTTGCAGACTGTAAGAGCAATTTTATAAAGGTAAGCTTGAACTTTCGATTATGTCAAATAGAATTTCCGATGCTGGAGCTCCCAAAGGATCTAGAAAACGAAAGTATGATTCCATGTCCATCAAACAAAAAACGAATTGCTACAAAAAATGGATAAAAGGTATATCCTTTGTTTATCTAACTGTTCCGAAATATGTTTACTAATTTCACGCTGCTCTGCGCGATGGGGGGGGGGGCGTTGCGTCGCGCAATGAACTGGAAGTTGATCTGTCAGCACTATCGTTATCTTCAGGGCAGATGTTTTTATTTTATTCGGCTTATAATTCCTTACTAAATGTAGTATTTAATCTCGATGTACTCCGTCTTTGATATGATTTAAATCAAATTCCTCGTCATTATAAATATCACAAATACAAATCAAATAGTTTTCTGGTTGCAATTTTCTAATTTCGGCTATGTGTAAGATATGCTTTACGCATGCGCGCATTGAAAGAAATGTTTAATAAAGTAAACAAATAAATATTAAGCTTCTTTTTTTGTAAATTTTGATACCCTTTAGATCATAATTGCTCATTATTTTATAAATCACGGTTTCATATTTTTAATTTTATAATTTCTGCATGCCATCTTACCAGATTTAAACTGATGATCTATTATCGGGAAAAATCGATAATCCGGAATTGCCGAAGTCCTGACGAGTCCAGATTAAAGACTTTTGACTGTAGTACCAAAATCGAAGTGTTGCTATTGACATTGTTGTGATATGCTCTGCAGATGATGAGAAGTTCCTGTGAAGAATTGAAGTTTTGTCTCATGCAAAGGCTGAAGCCCCATAAAACACAATGTGTTGCATTACTGTCCATTGCCATAACCAAAAGAGTCAATGGTATTTCCCATTTCATAGCATCTGCACAGAGTATTGAATTGGAAAGATGGAATACATTTTGCTTTGTGTAGTGAATATGGGGAAGCCATGTATGTTCTAGCATTTTTCTGAGCTATTTAATTTGTGAGACAAATCTGATGATTTTATCATGGAGTTTCATACTGGGGTTATATTTTAAAATGCCAAAGTGTCCAATTATAAATAGCAGAGCTTTAGCTGCTAAAATTGTGAACTTCTGCTCTTTTGTCCAAGTTATGAAGGTGTCCATGCTTTCTTGAAGGATATTTTGAATGATGGTTTTGCTGGCGACTATCAAAACAAAATCATTGGCATAGATAATTACTCGTGTGCTTTGTTATAGGGTTGAAGAAGAGTATTAGCAGCTAGTAGAAAGTTAATCAAATTAACAGATATGATGCATCAAAAGAGATCTTTTATATATTTCATATTAAATAGTTGAACAATGTGATAATTTGATTCATCAAAATTAGTAACACATATTGCAATTATATTACTATGAATTTCAATTTTTTGCCACTTAACCAATAAATTTGTTAAAACATAAAGTACTTAATTCATATTAATTGTAGTAGCATGCAATTATTAATATTATTTATTTTCATACATTAAAATACTGGAGAGTTACAAAAGAAAGATCTGAAATGAAAGCAACAGTATGCATTCTTAATGAATCACACTGTTCAGACATGAAATTATCGAAGAATAATGAATTTTGTTTTCCTACCAAACTTGCAGAGTCCCATCTGTCGCGCAACATATGTAATCCTGAGTCTAATTTATCCTACTACCGACATAACAGTAGTGACAACCATGTCAATGTGCCTCTTCAGATCATCTTATAACTGTAAAAATGAAAGAAATAGAACATCCTTTTTCCACCTATACCCATATAAAAATGTCACTGGTGTCAGAACTGTAGAATACAGAAATTAAGAAACAACATAACCATCTGTAGTACTTTCACAGGCAAACTCAATCTGGCTCATTAGATAAATACATCTATAGCTTTTTGCATCTGTGGTATTAGTATATGCTATGGGATCTCACCCTCTTTGCTATCATAAAATAGATCTCATTAAGGAAACCTGGCAACTTTTCGCACTGGCATGAATAATACCAGCACAGAAGAAGGGTAAAATAACCCTTCATTATTATCCAACTCTTAACACAAATGCACATGCTTCGTGCCTCTAAACATGTTCTTACAATAACATCGATGACTTGCAGTGAAACTTGAGAATAATTTCTCAATAAAATTCAAAAATAAAGATGTAGTGCTGGACTAACAATCTAATTTAAGGCTAACTAGGCTGACTCAACAACCTATCTGGCAATATACTTATTAAATGGCCAAAAGAGCATATCAGCAACTCAGCATCAGGCCCGTGCCAAGCCTAATCTGAACCGTCATGCAAATGTCTAGCGAGCGCTTTTATGCAGTGACGATATTAAAGAGAAACTGCTTATGGTTAACACTTGTTTTGCATTACTGTCATTACTGTCTTACATAACACTAACTAAGTGATGTATTATTAACATAACAATAAAAAAAATTGCATTTTCTCTTTTAATTTTTCTAAATGTGTAAACATTTTGTGCTTTCTTAAAACCCACACTCAAACATATTTATTGAAGAATTATACCAAAAAATAACATTGCAAGTGAAGCAAATAATATACTAAACACATTGGATAGCAAATATACTGCTTAACACTATTTATTTTCTTAAACTTAAAAAACATTAATTTACATAACTAATAAGTTTGCACTGAATAAGTTATTGTCTGCAGGGTTGTTTCTGACAAGGTCCGAAATGTGATTACAGTAGGGCCCAAAAAAATGCTCTAGGGTTGATGTTCAAAATTCTTTTCTGCCCACCTCTATGTTGTTGACAACGATATAGAGTTTCAACCTGTGATGCTACATATTTCCCAAAAATTTGCAAAAACTGCAGTTCATGCACAAGATGTATACTATTTATATCACTTTCATTTTTATTAGTTAATGCTTTTTGCATTTTTTGACATACGTTGAGCTGATCTTGTACTATACATAAATAAAACTTAGCCTTTCGTTGTTTCAATAACAAATAATTCAAAAGAAATGATGATTTTTTTAAAGTGAAAATAGAACAACAAGCAATCAGCAATAGAAAATCACAAAAAAAGATAAAAGTTGTACAAATTATTACGATTGCAACAGTAGGCACAGAATAAAGATTAAGCAATTTATCAAACGTGTCTACCCTTATATACGCATCGACACCCCGTATTTTCACGTCCATTAAGACATAAGAGAACACCAGAAACAAACTTATGCCCTAGTTATAACATTCGTTCAAATAAGGCAGTGCATTAGGAAAAAAGGGCATCCAGACCTGACCAGTTAGAGGCTGCCTTATAAACGCCCCAACCCGTAGAGGAGATCCAAGGGCCACTAACCTATCGATCGAGCCGACGAACCAAGACTAAGCGAGCCGACAAGAATACTCAGCAACTCAGATTCCACGTCCCCGTTCTGGAGGGAAAGTAAAAACATCTGCCACCAAAAGGGGCCCCAACCCCAGACAGCAGAACGAAGTCACTTAAACACTATCAGATAGATCGGGCCTGCTAACCCTACGTCATGGTGTATAGACGTCGGTTCCAGGCAACCCCAGGGTGAACCAAGGGAGAATATAAATATGCAGTTTTGAGGCTTCATGCACTCCCTGAAAACCTCAAGCAGTCTAAAAATACCAGACTCTGCCGAGCCTGAACCAGCCATCGCCAGCGATGATGCTAGTCCTGTGAAGACCAATTTTATACCTCTGTGGCCGAGACTGCCTAGGTATAGATTATAACCAGTATTCCAGACAATGCACCAGAAGAATGGGACATCTAGACCTGGCTACACTGTTAAATCGCCCCAGCCCCTGGAGGCTATCTGAGGAGGTGCCATCCCTCTCCTCCTCCCCCGGGCCAAGCAGGCTGCCTTAAATATTTCACACAGAACATGGTCATAGTTATGACATCAACCGTCCCCCAGTTTTGACCAATGGGAGCCTATTCCCCAAGGGCAACTTTCGATATCTGATCATGTAATCCTCCACAACAAAAGGAAGGGCAGACAAGACAGCAACAGTCCGATCCCTGCCGAGCCTGAACCTACCACGGAATAACCGATGGTTCTAGTCACTGTAAAGACAATTTATTTACCCCAGAAGTCGAAGCTCTCTAGATATTGATCTAGCCAGTATGCTGGGATTGCCATTCCCAATCGACCCCAGGAGTGGTTATCCGAACATAGTTGGCACAGGCGAATCTGGTTACCAGAGTGGCCACTAGGAGGCCCATTTTGGATTAGGTCAGCGAGAGGATAGAAATTTCTTGTTTTAATGACTGCCCGGCAGCTTTTTAACACACCGCCGTCGTGCGCCGCTCGACCCTGCACCTATTGTCGGTGCGGGCCTGCTCAGCATAGCATAACAGCAAGGACAAACTAGTAACATATGCTGGCAGCAAAATCACGCTCTGAATAAACTACAAGATTCATCTGTTTAAATACTCTTTTCACCTGACTTTAAATTTGCTTCCTGGCGAGGAAATATGAAGGGAAAATGACAGGTTCAGGAAAGGTACCAAACTTAAAATAATTTATTATGTAAAATAAGGAAAACCCCAAAATCAATGTATGTATAAGCACATCCATGCATGATATTCCTAAAACTCTATGCAGGGAGAAGGCAAATGGACTGTAAAACATCTCCCCAGTCCCCCCCCCTTTCCACAGACATGTTCTATAATTTCATGAAGATTTTGTATTCCAAAAAAACAGCACTAGTTGACAAATTCAGTAATAATCTTTTGCATAATTTTTATTCTCTGTGTGAATTTCAGAGTAGCTGTAGTTATGCATTTTTAGGACTCCTCTGGCATAATTATCTAATTTGATTTGCAATGTCTTCAGACACAGACAGTTAACCTGGTGATTTTCCTTTGATATGTAGCCTATTTCATTAGACTGAGAATGCAACTTGTGAATATGCTTCTCTCTTAGTGCAGATTTAAGTTATTGAATTCAAAATGATCAACATATAGAAATAACCGACTTTTTAAAACAAAAGCTTCACAATGCAAAATACCTTCCCTTTCGTAGTTGCTCTCACTTACAAAATAAACAAAGAAATAAAGGATTTAATTAGAAGAGCCAAAATTGTTATAATAAATGATGCATAAACAAAGATCAATGACATGGAACAATGTTTATACACTTTTAAACAAAAGATTAAACATTTTGACAGCAGAACTGGTTTTTTTCTTACAATGAGTTCTTGCAGCAAAACCCTAATTGAAAACTACCAAAGCACAAAATCTCCAGTTCCTCTTTTCTGCTACACTGATAACGCAAAGTGCCAAAATTTACTGAATTATTGCTACTTCTTTTTTCTTTTTTTTCAAAATTCTAGTCCATCTTTTTGACTAAGTCCATATAATGCTAATCAGTCATGTAATAAATATATATAAAAATAAATAAAAAATACTTTCATTCCAAGAAGTACTTAATAAATTAATTACCCATTTGTTCATTGCATAAATTATTTTAAAAATAACTAATTATAAAGATAGTAGTCATTAAAACAGTTCTAATACTTACAATGAAGTCTTTGATAATGGATTCCCATTCTAAATAATGGTCTTGGTACAATGTATGTTTTCTCTATTACAGTAGCATCAATACGAATTAAATCTTTGCTAAAAGACAAATATACATATTATTTTATGACAATTGAGTAAACATTATTAAAATACAAACCACATGTGATGCATAAGAAAGAATTATTTATTATTATCATGTACTAATAACTATAAACAGATTCAAGAAACATTTCTAAATTGAAAATTAAAAGTTTATTAAAATTGAACTTCAGTACTTTTTTTTTTTTTTTTTTTTTTTTTAAGGAGTATAAATCCCCTTCCTGCCCTGATGTTCACCAAAATGCACTAAGCCTTTGACACTTTTTTGCATTAAAAGTAACTCCATGTCAGAATAAATATTTTGCCAGCTATTATATTTCAGATTAATGTATAACTCTTGCAACTGTTATTTTAGCTTCTTATATTGCTTTTGTTTACTCTTTTTCTGATTTTAATCCAATTCCTTTCTTTACGAGCTTGACATTTTAATAGTTACTTGGATTGTGCAAGTTCTTTTTTCCTTATTTATTTATTTATTTTTTAAACTTTGTTGCATTTTTCACCATCGAATCATTGATATAAATTACATCAATTTCCATAAAAAAAAATAATAAATAAAAAATAAAAAAATTTAGATCTCAGCAAAGAAATAAAACAAACAATTTTAAAAAAAGAAAAGATAGAAAATATTTTTAAGAAATCTACAGAAAATATTAATTTTATCATGAATTTTAAAGAAGGTCTGCCTAAAAATTGGGTCATACTGCTATATAAAAAGTACTTAAATGTGAAACTGGTCATCTTACAATAATTCAGGATGAATAGTGATGTCACCTGTCAATTCTGATAAATAATTCAGAAGAAAATTTCATTCATTATTCTTTTAAAGCAGAAGCTTCTCATTGGTACAATCACAGTTCCCTAAAGAAAGCCATACATACTCAACCATATTTAAATCTATAAACCTAGTTGGCCAATCCCTCCCAGGTTTGACAAAAATGACTTTCCTTTGTTGACCCTCTGAGTGACACAGGTTTTTGGATCTGTCATGAAGGCCTGTATTTATGCAGCAATTATTAGCTAAATTTCTGTAATTACTTATTTTAGACTATTTTCACAAATTTATATTCATTAAGAATACACTTACATTATTAAAGAAAGTAAGAAAAGCAAAATATCTTAAGCTTAATATGTATCAAGTGACAAAAAATCTCATGACCGGATAAAGCCGGTCATGCCACTCAGAGTGTTAAGCTCACAGTGATTACATGACAGTTATCTTTTGACATAAATGTTTTCCCTGTTGGATAAATATAAAAACATTCATAAAAGTTCAGAATATCGTCTTTGCATTTTCAAGCACTGAAGCTTTCACCTGCTAGTAAACAGACTTCTATATGCTCATTCAGAGAAATGCTACTAGAAATACAAATGTAGCTTCTGATAAAATGGTTTTGTTACTGGGATAATAATGGATGCCTCATCATAATAAACAACATCTGGTAATGTTCTTCAGCCAATATCTGAATGCATCTGCAAAGATTGCAGAACTTCATCAGTTCTCAGTTCACTTAAAATAAAGAGACTAAATAAATAGAGAGACTTCTTAAAATAAAGAGCATCTCTTCTGAAAAGATGGTTAAAATCAGGCAGTAGTTTAACATTATATGCTAATTCGTATGCTTCATTTAAAGTACAACAGATCCAAATTATCAAATGTATGGAGGAAAAATTCTAAAACATTACTCCATGACCTAAACACATATTTTGTGCCTTACATCATAGCTTTACACACAAAATTAGATCTTTTTTCTAACACATACAGTACAAAGTCTTTAATCCAGACCTCAAAGCTACAAACTTTTTGCGCATGCGCATTTGTGCATATGCATTTACGCATGCGCATAATACCTTTACGCATGCACATATTACATTTATGCATGCACATTTAATGTATAACGAACGGTATAAGCTAGGCTAAAATTATCTAATTATCTATTTCAGTTAATGTTGCAGATTGCGCTGTTACTTAATCTTCTAATTGGATCCGGCTTATTATTTTTTGCAGACTGTTAGAGCAATTTTATAAAAAATAAACTTGAACTTTCGATTATGTCAAAAAGAGTTTCCGATTCTGGAGCTGCCAAAGGATCTACAAAGCGAAAGCATGTTTCGATGTACTGCTTCCGATAGTGAAGAAAGTGACAGAAAGTTTATTAAAAACGAAAAAATTTCAATTGACAAGTTAGTCGGTATTCTCGACACAGCAATTACATGACTTGAACAGTGGAACTGAACAAGAAATTATGTCTGTTTATAGAATTAAAAAAAAAAAAAAGTATTAGCACAAAAAATGAAGCAACATAAACAACTTACATTGAAAGAAATGTTTAATAAAGTAAACAAATAAATATCAAAAATTTTTTTCTAAATTTTGATACCCTTTAGATCATAATTGCTCTTTATTTCATAAATTACGGTTTCATATTTTTAATTTTATAATTTCTGCATGCCATCTTACCAGATTTAAATTGATGATCTATAATCCGGAATCGCCGAAGTCCCGACAAGTCCAGATTAAAGACTTTGTATCGTATTTCTTTAACAAAGTCTTACAAAATGTTTCAGCATGCATACAGTCTACGTTGAAGACAATGTAAATGAAGAATGACTAATCTTAATTGTACAGCGATGACACTACCTGCAAACACTACTAAGTTTCACTCTCCAACTTTTCATTTATTTGAAACAATTTTTTTTTTTTTTTTTTAATCCTTTAAGGTTTGAAACTGCAGTGAAAGTGAACTTCTTCTTACTTTATGGTAAAAGTCAAAAAGAGCTTGAGTGGCGAATCTGCTGTTGTGTGACTTTTGATTAAACACTGTATATGTTTTGGTTGAATTTGTTCAATTTTAAAATACATGTACAGTCAAAAGTCGTTAATTCGGACCTCAAAGCTAAAAACTTTCTGCCCATGCGTCGCTTTGACGGCTGCAAATTGCGTTTGCGCATGCACATAATACGTTTACGCATGCGCGTTTAATGTATAACGGACGGTATAAGCTAAGCTAAAATTATCAAATCCAGTTAATGTTGCAGATTGCGTTGTTCTTTAATCTTCGAATTGGATCCGGCTTATTATTTTTTGAAGACTTGGAGCAATTTTTTAAAAGTAAGCTTGAACTTTCGATTATGTCAAATAGAATTTCCAATATATATTTACTAATATGTAAAGGATCTACAAAGCGAAAGTATGTTTCGAAGTCCATTAAACAAAAAAAAAGTGGAATAGCTGCACAAAAAAAAAAAAAAAAATGGATAAAGGCATATCCTTCGTTTATCTAACCATTTCTGAAATATGTTTATCAAATTTACACTCCACTGCCTGTGGCAGTGGGGGGGGGGATGGGCGGCATGCACGCAATGAATTGGAAGTTGATCTGTCAGCACTATCCTTATCTTCAGGGCAGATGTTTTTATTTTATTTGGGCTTATGATTCCTTACTAAATGTAGTATTTCATCTCGATGTACTCCGTCTTTGATATGATTTAAATCAAATTCCTCGTCATTATAATTCGCTTCCGATAGTGAAGAAAGTGACACAGAGGTTATTGAAAACGAAAAAATTCCGATTGACGAATTAGTCGGTATTCTCGACACAGCAATTATAGGACTTGAACAGCGGAAATTTGTAACTGAAGAAGAAATTATGTCTGTTTATAGAATTAAAGAGAAAGTATTATCACATAAAATGAAGCAACTTAAACCATTTACATTGAAAGAAATGTTTAATAAAGTAAACAAATAAATAATAAGCTTTTTTTTTTTTTTTTTTTTTTTTTGTAAATTTTAATACTCTTTAGATCATAATGGTTCTTTATTTCATAAATTATGGTTTCATATTTTTAATTTTATAATTTCTGCATGCCATCTTACCAGATTTAAATTGATGATCTATAATCCGTAAAAATCGATAATCCGGAATCGACGAAGTCCCGACGAATCCGGATTAACGACTTTTGACTGTATATGTTTTGGTTGAATTTGTTCAGTTTTAAAATACATGTATATGTTTTGGTTGAATTTGTTCAATTTAAAAAACTCTGCACTACACTATGATGGATTTTAGCAAAAATTTGCCAGCTGTGCTGATGTTGAATTTCATCATCAAGATATTGTGTGAGAGCTCAGTAAGATTTCTTTCTATTAAGTAAATTCAGAAAATTTTTAAATCACTTTTTAACTTAACTTTAGAAGTAATTTCACTTAATATACAAACTCTTCCATCAGTTCCATGAACATGCTACAATATAGGTTAGAGTATTATGTGATGGAATCAGAAAACATTTAGTATTAGTTCTAATGAGAATAATAATCTATTGAAAACGCTGAGGTACTTAGGCATATAAATATTAAATATTAATTTTAAGATAATGATATTGTTCAAATTTCAAGGGATTATCTTTTTTCAATTATTAAATTATCAATCTTTTATCACAAGCACCTTAAAATAATAGCATTTTGTCTTTGCAGAGACACAGCAAAATAAAAGCTATGCATTAACAGAATTTATTCTGAAATTATTGCCTGCTTTTTCAAACCATATGTTGTTCCAATCAATATGGTGTTTATCAGAAGTGGGCTGTTATTGATGGGATTGAATTCAAATCCTAATTAATGCATTTTGCAACTGCAGTGTCTCTGTAAAATGTTATCCCTTAAATTCTGTCACTGTTTAAGTCCTCTTAAGAAGACACTATTAACAGGGCAATTGGTACAGAACTCTGAATTCTATTATAATATTGGCTGTAATATTTTCTTATTTATATTTCTCATTTTTATACAAATTTATGTCTTGTAATATTGGTTGTAGTATTTTCCCATTTATATTTCTCTTTTTTATCCACATTTATGTCCTTAATATTGGAGTGGCAATGCTACATTTGATATTGTTTGTATTTTGTATCTTGTAACCATTGCTAAGAAATGTCAGAATTGTTTTTGTTGAGAGTTATAAATTTGAAGTTAAAAAAAGATAAAAATAAAGAGGATAAATGGTAGCAGTGAGTTGGATTAGCAAAGTTAATTTCGTTCTTCAAAAATATTACACTATCTTTAGGGGTACTAGTGATTTTTCTTTTTCCTTGTCACACAGAACCTGATATAGCATATTAAAATTGTCAATGTATTTTGTTTCATTTTGTGCCATCAAAAGAATGAAAGACATAGGAGTTTTTCAATGTGCTGCATGTAACAATTTTTCCCTTATATATCAATTTATTCATATATTTATAAACAAACTGAATTTTACTGTCTTTTAAAAAGACAAGAAGCAGTAAAATTTGACATGAATTAATAACAAATAACATGTTTAGTTAAAAAAAAACAGATATAATACCTTAATAAAGGCCTCCCTAAGAGGGTAAAATCAGTGCTCCCAACAGCCAATACCTGTAACATTATGGTTGGAAAAAATTATAGCACTTAACCATACACAATTATATTACATACTGAAATAAAATAACTTAATTTGTTTAAACATATGCCTCCCACACATTATTAAATTAAAATATAACCAGGATATCTTAAAATTGGAAAGTTCAAATTATTTATCAATACCAAAAAATTTATTTCTCAATATACTGAACTCTTAGTTATCTATATAATAACATAAAGATAATTTGAGATCATGAAAATATTCTGTATATCGTAAAAAAAAAAAAAAAAAAAAAAAAAAAAAAAAAAAAAAAAAAGAATACTGCAATTTTAACCATTTGAAATCCCTCAATACAGATAAGGTTTTAACAGAATTTTACTCTATTACCTCTTTATCAGCAAAAAACTTCCTTTTTTATAATGTTAAGGGATAGTCCCCTCCAAATATCAATTTCTGTTTACTTCTTTAACTCCTCTCTAGGAAATCCTTTATTCAATGAAATTCACTGTATCAAAATAACATAAAATTCTTCAAATATCAGTCTTAAGAACTTATTCTAAACTTCTTTTTATTTAATTATTATTTACCTACAGATGGCTGATTCAGACATAAATAATCAGAAGTTCGGAATATACAGAATATATATTGCATCACAACAGAAAACCATTTGGGAGGATTATCTGCATATTACTTGTATTTCATGCAGTCAAATCTACACTAGCATTTAAATAAATATATGAAAATGAAATGGATAGTAAGAATAGAAAATAATCTTTAAAAATTCATGAATAAATTTAACATTTTAAAGGTCATACTTTCTCCAGACGAATTTTGTCTCCAACACCGGCAGGAAAAAATGATCCAACAGCAATAATATCTTCATCAGTTATTTTAAATTTTCTTTCACAAAGCTGAATAACTGCAAAAAGGCGACTATGGGTTTTGTTCTTTATTTGGTCATTGATTTTTGATATCACCTCTAAAAAAAATTACAAATAAAAATATCATCAAATATCTATTTTTAAAAAAGCTAAGAATAGAATTCACCAAAATAAGGAAAAACTAAATGGTTTAAATAAGTATATCAGATAATTAAATAGCCCCTCGTACACTAAAATAGCATATTTTCACATCTGGGATGCAAGAGTCTAAAAAATGTAATAAGATATTCAATTATCAGATATCTTATTACATTATATATTATTGATAAGAATGAAAAATGATTATATATTATTGATAAGAATGAAAAATTGGTACTTTTCCATTTTGCTGGCGCAAGCGATAAAGTCACCAAAAATGGTACAACCGATGCCAAATGGAATATCCTCACTGGTAACCTTTTATGCCTCATTTTCAAAACAAGTCACAGCCTTTTCTTATCAGACTGATTGATTGTTTCTTTCAATACTGGCATACAATTACATAGAATTTTTACCAGATAGTTCAATTTTATATCCTAAGCCCATTCGCAATAATTAAGTCAATTAGGATGTAACCCAAAGGCAAACTCAGAAAAGTCAAGGGTTAAATTCATCACTTCTAATGAGAATGCACTAGCAAAGTAAAGCACTGAGGTTTTATATAATTTCTGAGTAAGCTATTCGTACGAATTGAAATAATTCTTGTACTTGTATTCCAAATTAAGATTTAACTTGAAATTAATGTAGATAATTACTAACAGAATTAGATTTTTGTAGTGTAGTTTACCTGAGATGAGATCACTTGGGATCACGTGATATGAAATGGCGAATATTGTACCATGAAAGCATAGTAAATTCTTAAATTAATGTCTTTTTACAAAATTTTGAATTATATTAAAATGTTTATGCCTTCAAATAAAAATTTCACAGAACTAACATTTGTTAACATAATTTATGTGTATACTGTGTGTTGTCGTCAATAAAGTCTGCTTGGCGAGACTTGCGCTGGCAAAATGGAAAAGTACCAAAAAATTTAATATCTGTTTTACACCAGCTTTATCCAGTCTCTTCTTACGCATGAGTTACTTTGTTTCCCAATGGGCCATACCATGATCTATTAACATGCGAGGAAAGTATCAAATAATAAAGTAATATATATATAAAAACCCACAATCTAAAGCACAGCATCATTTTCTGGTAATTTCAAATTTGTATTATGATTGTAGTTTTGCAGATAAAAGCAAAAAATATTAGAAAAACCTCCAAAATGTTTAGCTATAATGACTGTTCCTACAATAAATGCAAGTAATTTAAAATAATAGTTTCGCTAGGCAAACACAAAAAATAAAAAAATACACATAGAATCATCCAATGTTTGTCCTTTACTTTACACTACTAAAGCAAAACAAAATCAAATGATTCTGCATCAAGATACACCATATACAGTATCTCTTATTTATGAGAATAATGGTATAAATGCTCATAAAAGTTATTAGGATGTATAATTAAAAATAAAATATTCTTTTAAATTATTAAGAAATGTGCTAATTACTTTCAAATAACTCAATTTATTAAGTAATAAAATTATAATTTGAAAGATAAATTAAAGGAGATAAGTCATGTCAAAAGGCAAAATTGTAGAAATTGGCAATTTGGTAATTCACACGTACAATGAAATATTGATCTTATCACCACAGCAACTACAGTCAAAAGTCTTTAATCCAGACCTCAAAGCTACAAACTTTCTGCGCATGCGTAAATGCATATGCGTTTACGCATGCGCGTTTAATGTATAACGGACGGTATAAACTAAGCTAGGCTAAAATTATCTAATTATCTATTTCAGTGAACGTTGCGGATTGCGTTGTTCCTTAATCTTCTAATTGGATCCGGCTTATTATTTTTTGCAGACTGTTAGAGCAATTTTATAAAAAGTAAGCTTGCACTTTCGATTATGTCGAAAAGAGTTTCCAATTCTGGAGCTGCCGAAGGATCTAGAAAATGAAAGCATGTTTCGATGTCCATCAAACAAAAAGTGGAATTGTTGCAAAAAATGAATAAAGGCATGAAGAAAGTGACAGAGAGGTTAGTGAAAACGAAAAAATTTCAATTGACAAGTTAGTCAGTATTCTCAGCACAGCAATTACCGGACTTGAACAGTGGAACTTTGTAACTGAACAAGAAATTATGTCTGTTTATAGAATTAAAGAGAAGGTATTAGGACATAAAACGAAGCAACTTAAACAACTTACATTGAAAAAAATGTTTAATAAAGTAAAAAAATAAATATTAAGCTTTTTTTTTTTTCTAAATTTTTGATACCTTTTAGATCATAATTGCTCTTAATTTCATAAATTACGGTTTCATATTTTTAATTTTATAATTTCTGCATGCCATCTTACCAGATTTAAATTGAAGATCTATAATCTGGAGAAACCCCTAATCCGGAATCACCTAAGTCCCGACGAGTCTAGATTAAAGACTTTGTACTGTATATGGTATGGTGTGATAAATACAAAACTGAATTTTTGGTCTCACATGGCGGAAAAAATGATATTACTAAACATCTAGGGGGCACAGAAGATTTTTGAATAATGCCGATTCCTCCTCTAAAATGGAGCAGTTTTTTTCGCAGAGCTTTGACAACACAGAGGAACAGCTAACATTAGCTGAAGGACTATTTGCTTTCTGCACCATAAACCACAATCAAAGTTTCAGATCAATGGATTGTATGTCGCAAATGATCAAAACATCGTACAACAAAAAATTTGCATGTGCAAGGATGAAAACAGAAGCAATTATTTGAAATGTGTTTTCACCATATTCGTTTTCACAACTGCAGAAAGAATTAGATAAATTCACATTTATTTCCATATATTCTGATGCTTCCAATTACAAAAAGTTTAAAATTATTTCCCATAATTGTTAGATTTTTTTTTTATTCAGAAACAGGAATTAAAATTACATTATTACATTTTGTTTTATTGCCGGGTGAAACTTCATAAATAATTTTTGATTCAATAAGTACTATTCTAATAAAGAATAATTTGAACAATAAAATTATTGCCTATTATGCGGATAACAGTAACGCAAATTTTGGTGGAAAAGCTAGAAGAGGCATCAATAACGTTTTTACGAAACTTAACATTTCCACCAAAAAATTATTGGAGTAGGTTGTGCAGCATACATTCTACACAATACTATTCAAACAGCATCTGACTTACTTCCAGTTGATGTTGAGAATATTATTGCAAAAATTTATTCGTATTTATATACAGTACAAAGTCTGTAATCTGGATGTCCATTATCCGGAATGATCTATAATCCGGATCTCAAAGCCACAAACTTTATGCATGCGCGTAGAGAATGCGCATACATTATGCATGCTGGTAAAGAATGCACATACATTGCGTAATGTATGCTTTACGCATGCGCGTGTTGAAAGAAATGTTTAATAAAGTAAACAAATAAATATTAAGCTTTTCTTTTGTAAAATTTGATACCCTTTAGATCATAATTGCTCTTTATTTCAAAAATTATGGTTTCATATTTTTAACTGTATAATTTCTGCATGCCATCTTTAAACTGATGAGCTATAATCTGGAAAAACCCCTAATCCGGAATCGCTGAAGTCCTGACGAGTCCGGATCACGGACTTTGTACTGTATATATATGTGTTACAGTGAAACACCGAAATCTGGAGCACGTCGACTTTTACCAGTGAATGTCAACATTCACATAGTTGCTTAATGTATGTCTGAAATATTTTCCAAATCCTCTTATTTCTGACTTACACCGGTAAATATCGACATTCACCATGTAATAATGGTGAATGTTGAATATATAAGAATATTATATATTCTTCTCCATAATTCAGTCGCGAAAAAACGCACTTCAGACTTAAAATAAGAACTTAAGTACTTAAAACACACATTACATTCAAAATGAGAAAGGAAAATAATAGAAGTTAAAAACTTACTAAATTAGGTGATTCAAATCTTATTTATTACAACAACTTAAGCTATTATGACACTTTGAATTGCACAAGAGGCCCTTGCTTTTAAAACTGCATTTATTTGTGGAACACTTCCTTTTGCAATGACAGTGTGTACATGTACTCCTCTCTTTTCAACCTACACCAGAGCATATCTGTGATTGTCGACATACACCAATGACGGTCCGAATGTAATGCAATATTCGATTTTTCACCGACATATTTGGTCAATGTTGACATTCTTCAGTGAAAGTCGACAATCTCCAATTTCGGTCTTTCACTGTAACATATGTTCTGTGAGTGTTGAAAGTTTGAAGGAATTTTGTGAACATGATGGCTAGCTCTATTAACAGCTGTAGAAAATATTTTTAAATTATACAAACTATTAAAATCATACTTTTTATCACAAGATAAATGTCTAAGAATATTGCAGCTCTTTTTTTGAAAATGACATAACACAAATTTGGCTTCAGTTCATCCACAACCAAGCAGTTTTATTTCGCAATGCTGTGAAAATTTTTAAAGGGGACAAAATTTCAATTACATGGAAGTGTCAAATGAAATCAATAATTTAAAAACAAAATTGCGAGACAGAATTGATAACGATTACATTTCTTTATTTATTCGAAAGGACATGACTAGGTTGGAAGAAAAAAGTGCCATTAAACGACAAGTTGATTTTCTGAAAGAAGTCAGAAATTTTTATAATAACTGCTTGAAATATCTTGAAGAATGGACAGTTCATTTCAGGGATATTCAAAATTTTCACTGGGTGACATTAAAAAAGGGAGATTTTATGGGAATATGTGGAAAAATCTTTTGAATATACTAGTAACCATTTTCCGAAAAGTAATATTTGCGAAAATGATCTTTTTGATGAGGTGTCATTGGTAAGAAAATACGTTACTAATGAAAACATTAAATGTTGGTTGTCTGCAAATGTGCAAACAGACAAAAAATGGACAGAGTTATTCCTTCATTTTAAACAGAATAATATTCCTTATCAAAATATTTTGTAAACTGTAGAATACACGCTCTCTCTTCCAGGAACAAATGCAACAACAG